CCTTCTATGTAGGACCTGTATGTCAATTTTTAAGCATAAATTCAGCAATATGGACTTATAACAAGGTCAATATTAGTGACATTATTTCGTAATATCCAGTATTCACGAAGACCTCTTTAAATATTTGTTGTATTTAAAAATGTTACTGAAATGACCCAATGATTCACAAAAACGGACCCATTAACATGATTGGGAGTTATTTTTTGACGGAATATCTATAACCCAATCTTATTTGGAAATCTTAGAGTAAGATTCAATATGGATGATCCCCATGGCTAGATGAGAATTTAATAAATACTGGCGTATCACAACGGTCTATTTTAGGGCCCCTTTGTTTCTTTCATACATAAATGATATTTCTGATACAATTAGTTCAATAATCAATATGCTACCGAATTGTTGACGAAGCATTGATGATGCCGATCTATAAGACTACATATATAGCAACTGCATGTGTAACCAGGCTCGTCAAGCTATCACAAGATATAACTACCTACACCATGCTATTTATTAAAGCTGTTCCCAATCTCACGTGGAATTCATACAATTAATAAGTTACTTTCTATTACTAGGGAAGTTTGAATTTCTGCTCTCATGTCTCTCATTTGCTGTTGGTCTTGGTAATGTATGGCGCTTCCCGTACCTTTGCTACAGGAATGGTGGCGGTGAGTTATGTATATATACAAGTATATTTACAATATTATACAGGATGGGCCAAAAAAACCAATACCCAACTTTAAATCAGAATGAAAATAGCTATGTGCAATATGATACATTGATTGATTTATATATCATTTTAAAGGTAATCCATTTTCGAACAATTTGGGATATAACACTATGTCATGAAATCAATATTAAAGTTTTATTATGCTTATTTGGGAGGCCGGGTCGGTATTTAAGGTATCCAGATTTTAGGGAGAAAATAGTAAATCTGCGGAATAATGTTAATTTTTTATTTATAGAATATAATTTTGTTAGGTGAATACATGCTTGTATATTTGCATATTGTGTGACTAAACTTATTGTTTATGAACTTTAGTGTTGTTTATTATCAATAAGTATTCAAAAAGACATTTAATGTATATGCGATGAGGATTTTATTTTCCAACAAGATATTGTAGCGTACCATAGATCAAAGGAGACATTGGCATTTCTTTGCAAACAAGGTGTCAATTTGATTGATCTCGATGCTTGGCCACCCAGCAGCCCCAATGCTTATGTGTTTGATTACCATACATGGAGCCATCTCGAGGAAATGGTACAATCACAATCATCCAATAAACAGTATTGATGAGCTGAAACACAGAATCCCAAAGTGCTGAAATGAATTGCAACAGAAATCTCTCAATAAAGCTATTGATAGATTGTGCTACCACTTGAAGCTTATTGTTGATGCAGAGGGGAGGGGTGGGGGTATATTGAGCGATTGTTAAAATTGTTTAAATAAATAAAGTGTAAAATATTATTAAACAACACTGAAATTCATAAACAATAAATATAGTCACACAATGATGCAAATATCAATATCCAAGCAAGTATTCACCTAACAAAAGAATGATTTTCTATGAATAAAAAATTATCATAATTCCGCAGATTTACTATTTTCTCCCTAAAATCTGGATACCTTAAATACCCGGCCTCCTAAATAAGTATAATAAAACTTTACTATTGATTTCATGACATAGTGTTATATACCAAATTGTTTGAAATTGTATAACCTTTAAAATGATATGTAAGTCAATGTACCATATTAAATGTTACTCTTTTTATCCTGATATGAAGTTGGGTATTGTTTTTTTGGCCCACCCTGTATATACACGTTATATCTTTTTATGTGCGCGCAGATAAGTGATAAAATAAATTATAAACGATGCATTTTCTCTTACGTTTACCCGGTCGAATTTTTGACCGTCCGTTAAATAATTCATTTCTGGGTACAATTATTATATTGCTACCACAAACGTAGGGGTTGGTATATGACAGTGTTGGCAAGTAAATTGATGAACCTGTTTTGTATCACCTAATGCAAAAATAGCAAGGTTGGTACTCTTGTGCTCAGACACTGTCTCTTTGAACCCTTAATTTAAATGCACCAAGTCAACTGCTAAATTCAGCAAGTCAATTGCAAGCTAATTTGTTCTAAACCCGAACCATATTCACATTAAATCCATTTCTCAAAGTTATTACATTTCCAAAATGAAAAATGCTATCTGTAATGACTCATTATTTTGAAATATAATTTTGACTAAAAAAACAACGAATAGCAAACCTTAGGCTCTATCATATTTCGATTTACTCTTTATTACAGGGGCATTCCTGATTCCATATTTGATGTGCGTTGCTCTTTGTGCAATTCCATTAGTTTTCCTTGAAATGGCGATTGGGCAATTTGGAAGTCTAAGTATGATAAAAATGTGGAGAATGAGCCCATTGTTTAAAGGTATTTTCAAAGGATTGGTATCGATATGGAGATCTGAATTCAACAATGTTTTTCTCTTAAACCAATCATTGAAAACATTCTGTAAAAAACACGGTATTTTATGTAATGTTGAATGATTGACAACAATTCAATGCGAAAACTATTTAGAAATATTTTATATAACTGTTTTTGCTAACATTTTTTGTTTTTTTAGTGCAATTGGTTTTGCTCCTTTCTACCAATTCTTGAGAATGACATAAAATGTCTTTCCGAACCTTGTTGGAACAAAATAGCATATATAACATATTTTTAGACCTCTCAATATTATAGTTATACAAAGGAATTTTTGGTTGGTTTTAAAAAAGAATTCAAAAAATTAAAACAAAATCCCCTCAAAATAGATAAAAATCAAGATAACTTTTTATTTCATTAACAAGATACTTTTTTTAAATCAACCTAAATGTCCTTTGTACAATTACAATATTGAGAGACATAAACATGTTGTGTTTTGTTCCAATGAGGTTCGGAAAGATGTTTCATTTCACTCTGGAAACATGATACCAAGAACAAAACAAGTGTTTGATGTGTTCTCTAAAACAATATAGATGAAAGTACATATTTTTTCAAACTATATTATTACCTTTCAAAAGATGACCATTAAATTGACGATGTGTTAAATTTTTAGATTTTTATGACTGGTTTAAGAGAAACGTGTGTTCAAAAAGTTCTCCATATCGATACCACTCCTTTACTTTTAAATATCCTTATTCCTCAAATACTGATATCAGGTTCCACCTAAAAGGTGCCAAACGAAAATCGTTCTGGACATACAGCACGAGTATAAGGTCTCTTGGTACTTAACAGAAAATGACAAAACAGGAAACGACAAAACCATGCTGGATTTTAAACATTTTTTGAACCAAGATAACAGAGTTTAGCTAATTCCACATATCATAATGTATATGGTCAGAATGACCCGAAACATGATGAAATAACTTTCTCAGCCCTCTGAAAATGTGACCGAAAAATAGCTAAAAGTAGGAGCTTCGGAAAGGTCACTGAACAGAATATTTTGTTTGGAAAATGTGCCTTATATATTGTGTTAAATGATACGAGCTTTGGAATTTGAGAAAGATGTCTGAAACAAAAATGGCGGTCATAAAAACCGGTTTCAAAGCTCGTATCATTTAGAACAATATATTGGGCACATTTTCTGAAAAATTCAAAAGATTCTGTTCTGTGACCTTTCCTAAGGTCAAAACTTAACTCTGTTATCTTGGTTAAAAATGTTTATAATCCAGCATGGTTTTATGACTTCCTGTTTTGTCATTTCCTGTTTAATACCATGATAGCTTAATTCAGAATATTCAGTTACAAAAATACCGAGTAAAAGCACATTTTGATTTTCAGCTATAGTTTATCGTTTGGCTATCGCTGTATTTACTGATACTATTATCTACAACGTTATCATAGCTTGCCAAGGATTGGCTTTTTCTTGTTATGTGCATTATTTACTTGAACGCTTCTAACCCTACCATCACACCAAACTAGTTTTCACTACGCTCTCGAAAATGGGCTTCAACTGTGTACGGACGAACTGGACGTACTCAGAACCGTTTGGGGTCTATTTACAAACTTCATCGAACGTCCTCGATTGGGTAGGTCCTCTAGAAGTTAGAACATGCTCAAAATGTTCTCGCGGTCGATACGTTCTACAATTAGAACGAGTGACAACGTACAAACGACGAGCTGGACGTTGTATGAACGGAACCGTCGAACTTCAATCCTACTAGGGACGTTTCAACAACAAGTTGAACTGTCTGAGGACGTATTGAGAACGAGGTAGAACTAATTGCAAACGAGTTTAAACTGATTAAGAACGTATTTAAGACTACTTATAGACGAGTTAGCAAAATATAGCTATCACCCCGAACAAGTTGCCACTGCGTTCTTCAAAACTGGTTTTAAACTGTTTGTGAACTTCATGAACGTAGCTGCAACTTTCTAAGGTCTATTTACGAACTTCATGAACGTTCTCAGACGGGAAGGTGATTTTAGAATTTTGAATCGATTCAAAATTCGATGACGACCATACCGTTCTGTAATCAGGTCATAATGACCTTCTAGACTAAGGGACGCGTTATACGACGTTGCACACCGACGTCGTGCGACCTGAACGAACTGCGAACGAGATGGACGTATTGAAGACTGTTTATGAACGAAGTAGCTTATTATTTTAGACATATTTTCCTACCACAGCCAGATTGAGCCCGTTTTACGACGTTTTCGTAGGACTGGCAAGAACGGGTAAGAACTAGTTTGGTGTGATAGGGGGGTTAGGAGCACTTGTTTTGATAATAGAGAGTTAAAGCAAACAACGGAAAGTATAGTAATCAATTACACTGTGAATATACGTAGCGGTGTATATCGCGCATACAAAACAAGCGCTAATAATCCAAGCAATAGTTCAGAATGAATATTCTTACCTCCCGTGTTGAAGAGCTCGAAAGGTACAGATTTTTTACATCCAGGGTTTTCCCCCTTTGAAATATACAGGGTCCGATTTAGAACACATCCTTCCAGTTTTCTTTGACATTCTTCTCCACGTGTATTTGCACAATCGAAAAATATATATCCTTATGACAACCTGCAGAGCGTTTTCACAAATATTTTTCGAAACTGACGATAATCATGAAAATTTGTCCCACTTGAAACGATGAATTGCGGGAGATATTTTGTTAATGACAATGTTTTCGACTATCGCGTATTAGTATATTAGTTTAATTCAGATACTCGTTCAGCTTCAGAGTTTCGTGTTTAGAACGCAACATTCCAAATTTCATTTCAATAAATCATTAAAGTCGTGTCGATTGCCATTCTATGCTGGTAATTTTGATTTCGATACAAAGTATAATTTTTCTGAAGAAGATGATGTATGTCATGAATGTTTTAGCTCCAACGAGCTTGATTAAAATATGTATCTGAAAACTAGCTATAGAACTACCAATGGCGTATTACATGATGCATATCACATACTCAGGTGTAGTCAAAACAAGCAATGAAGCCCGAACGGCTATTTAAAGGAATATTCCTTGCCAGACCCTTTCTCTCTTAATATGGTAGCTATAATCATATATATAGTTTCCACATTTAGCAAAAAATGGGAAAATGTTTTAATATGGTCAATATTGATCATTTAAAAATCTAGTGCTTATTTCCAGTGAGCTGCCATCTTTTAAGATTTCTTGCAGGAAGTGATGTCATCAACTCTCAACTTCTATAACCTTGCCCATAACAGTATAGGAAAGTAGCACAAAATCACTTCTAGACAAGTGATCATTACTTTCTGTGCAAAAATATTTTCAGGGCTTGTCAACTTAGAATAAAAGAAGAGATTTTCAGAAGGATTAAATAAGATACAAAGTTGAAAAAGAATATTTAGCTGGTTTTGTAATTCTTAATAGCTCCTCACCTAATGCTATTTGCAAAGTTGAAAGTCGATGACATCACTTCCTGTGTGAAATTTTAAAAGATGGCAGCTTACTGGAATTGAGCATCACATTTCTAAGTGATCAAATTTGACCATATCAAAACATTTTTGCGTGTTTTGCTAAACATGGCAAGCATATATATGGTTATAGCTACCATATGAGGAGAGAGATGGTTTGGCAAGGAATATTCCTTTAAGTGAGGAAGCTACAGTACAAGTATTTGTATATTGGCAATTTATACGTATACGTTGCCGTTTCGATTTTATATACTAGCTTTAGCTCTCCAATGTAACGCTATACGCCGGGTGACAATTATTTTGACAAAACACACAATAGATTGTGCCATATATGTTTTCCAGGTATAGGCTATAGCGTGGCTGTCATTCAGTTTCTTAATAATATGTACTACAACGTTATCATAGCCTGGATAATATATTTCTTATTTGCATCATTTACATGGAGACTTCCATGGACGTCCTGTAATAACTCCTGGAACACATTCCAATGCAATGTATTTAGCCAGGTGAATAACATGTTTGTTCATTTTCACCTTTGTTTTCTACATTCTACTCAATATTTCAAATATAATGTGCGTTTTCATTTCCATAGGTTAAAGCCATGGGACAATCATAGTAAACCTCAGTTCTAAAACATGGACTATACAAGTCTCAAGGATGCCATTCTAGCTGCAGAGTGCATCTGAATTGAAAGTTAACAAAATGCACACGATATAATAATTTTGTTTTATTTTGGTGTTGAACTTACAATTGACAAAAGTGTAAAAAGGAATTTGTAATGAGACATGTATAATACATTTTGGTTCAGGACAACAATAGATAAGTCCCCATCACAAACATATCTAATTAGGTAATTTAAGTTTCCTTAAAAGGGATGTTTTATCTTTTGTCTCATCTTTTAGATCAATAACACATCAAAAAGAACAGCCGACGGTCTTTTCAACAATGTTACAGCATATACTGTGGGGAATTTCAATGTCTCGGTAGATGTGGTTGAAAATGGAAACACTTTAGTGAACACTACTCTAAGACGTGTGTCTCCAAGTGAAGAGTATTGGAGGTTAAGCGAGTTTCCATATTTTCTTCGAAATCATTAACTTCCGTCTTACATTGAAATTGAAATGATGAATATTCAACTAACATTCCATTTAATGTCACGTTGTATACTTTCTAGTATTTCGTATCTTGCAAAATCATAGTAATTTTCAGTCGTTATGTCCTTAACATATCCGATGGTATAGAAGACATGGGTTTCGTTCAGTGGAAGTTGTTGCTTTGCTTTGCTGCAGCCTGGGTGATTGTGTTCCTGTGTATCATCAAAGGCATAAAGACTTCTGGTATGTAGTGAAATCACAAGAATATATATTAGAACGAATAAGATAAATATAATGAAACGAGAGGCAACTTTTTTCATCGGTTACTTAATTTGGGAACCTAATTTGTATGTTGTTTCGATCGTGAATTTGATACTTATTTAAGTACGAAGTTGTTTGAAAACTAATATAATTTCTGATCCGATATATTAACATTATCACGCGGTACTAACTCACCGGGGCGTATCGAAACCAAAACGCCCCGCAAAACAGTTAATTTGAATTTCAAATCTACCCTGTCTTTGTAAAATCAATGATTGTGAGTCTCACACTATACCGTTTTTCTTCAAACTTGTTCCATTCAAACCTTCACAGAAATACCTTTCAGTCGAGACATTGCTTTTGTTTACAAAGTCCCTCGTTTTGGCGGCGTTTTGGTCCCCAGATGTGAGGAGTTGCAAATCTAATATAAAGGTTTAAATGGAACAAGTTTGAAGAAAAACGCCGCCAAAACGAGCGACCACTCTTAAAAATCATTACTTGGATTTCCTTATATTGAGAAATTGTACTACTCATTTTAAGTCAAAAATTACTTAAATAATCTTGAACTACTGAATAATTTTTAAGTAATTTTTAAGTAATTCATTTATGGTGAATTTACTAATGCAAGGAGAGAAATTGAAATACTTACTGTAGTAATTGTAATACTCATTTACATAATTAAGCAATTAAAAAACTCAAAATGACAATATAAGTTAAACCTAAGTAAAATGAAGTAAAACTAAGTATTTAACTTTAAGTAATTTTTATACTTGGGAAATACTTCATTTTTAAGAGTGACTCTGTACACATAAGCAATGTCTCGAGTGAATTAAAGGTATTTCTGTGAAGGTTTTAATGGAACAAGTTTGAAGTAAAACGGTGTACTATGAGACTCACAATCATTGATTTTCCAAAGAAAGGGTAGATTTAAAATTCAAATTAACGGTTTTGCGGGGCGTTTTGGTTTCGACGCCCCGGTGAGTTAGTACCCCGTGATTATATTTTCAGGCAAAGTGGTATACTTCACGGCTACATTTCCATACGTAGTACTCACAATCCTGTTGATACGTGGTGTGACCCTCCCTGGAGCAGCAGATGGTCTGAAGTACTACCTTATTCCCAAGTGGGAAAAACTTCTAAGCTTTAAGGCTAGTATCACACTACCCCTGGTCTGACCTTTTCTCCTTCATAAAACTCACAAATGAGGGATTAGTAATTTATGATAAATATGCATATTTTCATTATCAAATAATTTATCAAAGACATGACTGTCAACACAACCAACATTAAAACCAATACACTGCACGAAATGTTACAGGTATGGGGAGAAGCGGCGATGCAAATTTTCTTTTCAACCGGGATTGGTGGGGCTCTTATAACGATGGCCAGCTTTAACAAGTTCAACAACAACTGCTACAGGTGAAAATATAAGAATCATATTTGATACACATCCCCTTTTAACAAATACATCTGGTTGGTTACAAGGTAACAACGTACAATATAAGTTATTATCGTATGATCTGTAAAATGAAGCCTTCTGATTGGTCTGTTCTTGTGCTTTACCAATCTGTATTGCTACTGAGATTGTCCCAATTGATCATCTCCGTCGCTATACAGAAAATATTGGTACGGAGGAGACATTCTCAGTAGTAATACAGAGGATCACACGATAAAAACGTTATAGTATACGTCTCGATATTCTGTATTGGCACTCGTCTTCGCCTCGTTCCAATACAGAATTTCTCGAACAGAATATATTCTATATTGCACTTCATAGTATGCAATAACTTATAATGTTTGTAATATTTTGAATGTGCAAATAGTCAGTGTACGTGGATCTGCCAAGCAAGTACTGAATTAAAAAAGGCATCTAAACATCTACAGACATCTTTTGAGGGTTCTTGTTTTAAAGATAAAAATGCAAAACCTTAAATGACTCGGCCAAATTTTATTTCAGAGATGCAATTTTGATATCAATCTTAAATGCTGGTACAAGTGTGTTTGCTGGTCTTGTGATCTTCTCAGTTGTTGGATTCATGGCTCGCGAAACTGGTGAAAGTATTGATAACGTTATAACTCAAGGTAATATTCATATTAATATATTCAATATAGTTTTTCGTATCACCAATGTTAAAATTATACATCGTCGGCATTTAGGAGATACAATAAAATAACGATACAAAGTCCGTGAAAAGTGCCCCAATTGTATTTTCTTCCTTCATTATGTCATAGACGGACAAATGAAAGGACGCAGATATATAAATCGTTGTTTCACTTTAGTTAAGAAATAAGAACAGGTAGAATATTATCAAATATATTCAACGTCATTTATAGACTTCGCTCGTAATTAATATTTATCATTTTCTTATATATTTAGGTCCCGGACTTGCTTTTGTGGTATACCCAGCGGCATTGACTAAACTTCCTGTTTCCCCTGTGTGGTCTGTGTTGTTTTTTACAATGCTTCTAACGCTGGGCGTGGGAAGTATGGTAAGCGTATAACGTATTCCGCATGTCTAAAACCTCTTTTTATAACACTAAGTCGTAAGAGGGGAAAATTGAACCCACTCCGCGATTTTTAATTACTTGTTTTATTCTAATGATGTTGGCACTGTTGTCAACCTCATTCAAGTACCTCTGTAGAAAAGTATTGGTGATTTTATTTCATGCTTTTACCTGCAACTCATTTGCTGTATTTTGGTTTCTGTATATGAGCCCGGCCACAGGAAAAGGGGTCTTATCACAGATTTTTTCAATATTCTGATTTTCTTTTCATCTTAGAAAGCACAAAGAGACCTTTCAAATGAGCCATGGCTCATGTCTTAACAATTTTTCCTTGCATATATAGACCAAAAAGTCGGATTTGAATTTAGCACATTTTCCTCTTAATCTTGGGCACATCTTTGGCTCTGTAGCACAATTCTAATTTTTGTGATAAGACCGGTTTTCCTATGGCCAGGCTCATATACCGAATTGCAGATTGTCATGGTTCAAAATTTAGTTGTATCTATAACTGACGAGTTCAACCTAACTAGCAGGAAAACACTTCTGACAGCAATCATATGTGTAGTGGAATTCCTCTTTGGTATTCCTATGATAATGCAGGCAAGTATAGTACACGCTGACATTCTTACATTCGATCTAGTTATAAGTTTGATATTTTAAAATTTGATAATTTAAAATGTCGTAACAACGAGCTTGTAAGTTCGAGACGCGTTTATTCATTCATTAAGTTTTATTTCCTTCACAATTGGATATCTGTCCAGTGGGGTATCAGCCATGAACACATACAAAATACATATGTGAAAGTTTATTACCTTTTTGACCCAATCTGAAATTACATTTTTTGTCTTCTTTTTTATACTTTCTTCTACATTTGTACAGTAGTTCAACCACCATAATGATATGCTAATTCTTGTCTAGGGTGGAATGTACGTGCTACAAGTGATGGACTATTACAGTGTGGTGTTCACTTTAATGATTGTTACCTTTGTCGAGTGTGTTGCAGTTACATGGATATATGGTGAAAATCGACCTTTTTCATTCATTACGTCCTATAGCAATTCACTTTGTATTATGGTATCTCAAAATCATGGACTCGTGTAATTCTGAGATTTTTCAATGCGCGACAATATGTTCATTGACTCCTCCATTCACGAACTCGTGCTAATATTCTCGAGTAGCGAGGACCAAAGACGGATTCTTTTCGCTAACAAAATGGCGCAAAGTCCGTAATGGGAATTCGGAAAAAACATTTTTCATGATTTTTCGAGATATGTGTAGCGTGCGTCGTTATTTGATGATTTTTTTTAGATGGACGATGACCTCATAACAAAGTTTTGAATTCGTCTTACGTGATGACAAATGCGAAGTACTATATTATAATCATAATATTGATTCTGTCATCCCAGAAAGTTATTCATTCCCAAATACTTACTAGTTATTACAGATGTGTGCTAACAATGTAATAATTAATCTATTCCGTCAACAGAATGTTACGTGATTTGTACATTTTGATTTTTGAAGCAGTCGTCAAGCTTGCAATTGATGTATCGCCTCCCTCTATATCTAATAATATTTACCTTCAGGCATGGACCAGTTTTCCAAAGATATTAAACTTATGATTGGTTCAAACCCTTCTATTTTGTGGAAGATATGTTGGCGGTTTATTACCCCGGGACTTATATTAGTAAGTTGCTCACTGCAATGTATGTAGCGTATTGTTCGAATTTCAAGTATTTAAATAGGCGTCGGGCCCGTAGCCCTGGCCAAAAAAACCTTCCAAAATCATGCAGTTTTTCACCATTTTGAGCACTTTTTAAGTGATTTTGGCCATTTTTGGACCAAAATTGTCACAAGTGAACCCCCTGGAATTTTTCAAAAAGTGAACCCCCCTTGGCAAATCCTGGCTACGGGCCTGGGCGTTTTCATCACATTGGTGGCTATCAAGCTTGGGAATATTTGTCAAATCGAGTGCTCAATTCAAACAATTAACACTAATCCAACTATATACTGGGTCTACTGCTTTAACTCCATTCGTTTACAACGATTATAATGTGATGAATAATTGAAATATTGAAATGAAAAGCTAGGGGTAAAACACTACAAACATTTTGTCATCTGGCAACACCTCTTCAATTTAATGGTCATCTTTTGAATGGTGACAATATAATTTGAAAATATACATTTTTCTCTATATTGTTTTAGAAAACACATCAGACACTTTTTTGTTCTTGGTATCATATTTTCGGAATGAAATGAAACATCTATCCGAACCTAATTGGAACAAAATGACATTGACGCAACGTGTTTAGGTCTCCCAATATTGTAATTGTACAAATGAAAGTTCGATTGATTAAAAAAGTATTTTGCTAATGAAAAGGTTTATCTTAATTTTTATCTATGGGGGGGGGGGGGTGATTTGATTTTTAATACTTTTTGTCATCAACCAAATTTTCCTTTGTATAACTATAATATTAAGAAAATGTTGATTTTGCTATTTTGTTCCAACAAGGCTCGAAAAGATATTTAATTTCATTCTCTAGACTTGGTAGAAAGGAACAAAAAACAATTGCACTAAAAATGTTAAAATGTTAAAAAACAGTTATATAAGATAGATATGAATAGTTTTTGCATTAATCTGTTGTCATTCAGTCAACATTACATAAAGGACCGTGTTTTTACAGAATGTTTTCAATAATTGGTTTAAGAGAAAAACATTGTTGAATTATGCCATTCCTGCAACTGTAAAACAACTAGTTGTCACAAATGAATGATGTTCTTTTTGTCTGCAGTGTATATTTTGCTTCCTTATCGTGACCCACGTGCCTGTGACATATGGGGACTATACGTATCCTGACTGGGCGATTGCAATAGGGTGGATTCTGGCAGCTGTATCATTTGCACCATCACCAATGTATGCATGTTATCGTATGTTAACTACGGATGGAAAAACGTTTGTTCAGGTAAGAAGGTTTTTACATGCATTCACGTTTGAATTGAGTGAATTGTCGCAGGTTCTTATGACACTTAACATTGTAGTATCTACCGTATCTACTCAATAAGATGAAGCATTTGAAATGTCTTTGAAATAATGCCTTTTTTAAACACCAACGAAGTCAAAGTCAACATCGAATCAGGGTCAGTAAGAGAATGTTAAGTATGACAGCGTTAAATCCTTCAGGTTATCTAAATAACTCAACAAAATATTTACTCTTAGTTCATTCCCACAAAATTGGGACCTCTGTCACATTTTGCCTCTGTCACATTTTGCCTCATCACAGAGATGTGACAAAGCATAATCCACCGAATACCCATCTTTGCTGCTTGTTAAAAATAACACTTAAAATATAGACGTATTATAATGAACACATGTTCATATTTTCACTAGCGTATTCGGTTCCTGAGAATGCCCGAACCAAAGTGGGGTCCAGCGCTAAAAGAAAATAGAGAATTGTATCTAAGAGCATTGAGTGCAGAAAGAAAACGCCACGTTCTGGGCCCAAGAGAAGTGAATGTGGACTTGGCTCCACTCAAGCAATAATACTATAAGTTATTGAATGATTTGAAGTGCAATACAGGATATATTCTGTTCGAGAAATTCCGTATTGGAACGAGACGAAGTCGAGTGCCAATACAGAATATCGAGACAGAATATATCCTGTATTGCACTTCAAATCATTCAATAACGTTTTTATCGTGTTATCCTCTGTATTGCTACTGAAATTGTCTCCTCCATACCAATATTTTCTGTATTGCGACGGAGATGATCAACGCAGACAATCTCAGTAGCAATACAGATTGGTACAGCACAAGAACTGACCAATCAGAGGGCTTCATTTTACAGATCATACGATAATATAAGTTATTGAATAATATGAAGTGCAATACAGGATTCAGGATATATTCTGCTCGAGAAATTCTGTATTGGAACGAAACGAAGTTGAGTTCAAATACTAATATCAAGAGCAGAATATATCCTGACGTGTATTTCACTTCAAATCATTCTACAACGTTTTTATCGTATGGTCTTAAGCCAATACATTTTACCTAGGAGATAATCGCTACTGGTTCTTTCCCCTCCGTACCAATATTTTCTGTATTGCTACGGAGATGATCAATGGGGACAATCTCAGTAGCAATACAGATTGGCATGGTACAGCACAAGAACTGACCAATCAGAGGGCTTCATTTTACAGATCATACGATAAACACAAATGTTATCATGCTGATGAGGAATGTCATAAATATTGATTTAAAAGGGGTTTATTGGTGAGATACTCATAAATATAATGTAAACTATATCATTCATAAATAAAAATGTGTGCATATTTAAAATATGTGTTTGTCTATTATTTTAAGTATAAGTGATTTCCTTTAACGTTGAGAAATTAGCGTCTTATTACATTGTTATTTAAAGACTAATGGCGTAATCTGAAAAATACTATTGTTTCAGAAATTGATGAGTTGATTCACTTTCAAGATATTTGAGTAATCTCAAATTTGTCAAAACTACATGATTGTATGGATGTGTTGTAAATTGGTCAAACTGTGTACCCTTAGCTTTGACAAGGATGAATACATTTGAAAAGATAGATAACATAATTAACATATGATTGCCTTTTCTTCATGCTCCAAACATTTCCTGGAACCAAGCGATACCCTCGTCAGTCCGAAAGTGCGTTATATTGACGTAAACAACATGAATTCAGATGTACAATGTTAAGGTGTGATAAATATTCAAAATTGCTTACAAAAAGTATGTAAATGTTTCTCCGACACTGATCAACTTGTACATTGTTTCGCCTTTGAGATGGAAATCCTAATAAATAAGATGCAGCTCTACAAGAAACAAAGACAAGCAACACCTTCAGAATCTTGCTTGAGATTTTTCACACCCACAAGAATATGAACTAGTATACAGCCCACCGGCCGACAGAACGTATTAAAAAGCTACTTTTCCTCCGCTGGTATTCATTTTATGACGACATTTTGCAATGAATATACTAAATAAAGGGGTGCTACAGGGTTCAATAAATTGTAAATCATTTATACCATGAATACCTTGTAGCATGGCTTTGAATAAGGGTGGTATTTGGAATAAAAAGGCTAGAATACAAACACGAGTGCATTAAATCATCCACCATTCATTGTGCTTAAATTCTTTTCACACATTGCAAAATATTTTGTACAGTATTAGTAAAATAATGATTATTTAGGAAGGACTTTTTTCCAAGGGGTTTGCAAGGTTTGACTTTTTGACATTTTAATATTTTGATCTGCATAAGCACCTTTCTTGCTATTCATTATGGTACCTCTTACATTTTTTCACTCAGTTGCCTAAAAATTAGTTTTGCTTCGAATTCAAGACCCTGGGCCATCTACTCTAACAATTGGTGAACAACTGTAATGTTTAGATATGAGTAGGGTCCCTCATCTTGAAGCAAGAGTATCCATGAAATTGATGAGGGTTCAATGAATCTAAAAATAGCCATTCACTCTGTTGTAGAATATGGAATGCATATACTATTCTAAACGCTGTGTTCTGATTCGCTGGAATTTTATATATCATGCTAACTATTTATGTAAAAGTTAAAGTGCTCCCTTGCACTTATATTTCAATATATCATTTTAAAATCTCCTTGCGACGCCGGCCTACAGACTGTACCTCAGATTACCTTTGAAACATTGGTATAGTGTTGTTGCATAATTACACTTTCTCAACGGCCTTCTAGACATTAGATGGAGATTTGCCACATGTCAAGATGACTTGCTTACCTGCAGTTGGAATCTATTTCGTTTTATTATAAAACCGTGCGCGTTTGCCATGTGTGAAAGGGTTCTGCACCTTTCTCAAGGTTCTTTCAGTATGTTAGTCGTTGAGTCGTTTATGCTGGCATTAATTCTCTACCTTTGGTCTTTTCAGGATGCAACAATCGCAAGAGATAAAGTTCATTGCTAAAATATTATTTAGTAGATGTTTAGTACATCACACAGCGATTAAATCCCTTTTTTAATTTGGGAGGGGGATATTCTATAACCGTTTTTACATTTGCATTAAATTTAATATTTTTATATTTCCTAGGACCGTCTGTATGAAATAAGTAGTAAAAATAGTAAAATCGGAAAAGTGAAATAAAAATGATAAAGTGATAAGTATCGGCAAATGTCGAATTGATTAGCCCATTCTTTCATTCAGGTTATCTAATCTAAAAGGTGATAATTCAAATTGAATTCTCTTTTAGACCCTTATATATCAGTTGTATTTTATGGTATTTGACAGTGTGTCAATTCTATCGAATTGATACTATCGAATTTTTGAAAAAACACATTTTGAAGGTACGTGAATAGTTATGACTTGTGCTTTTTCTACAATTAAAATCATAAAAATAATGAAATTTTATTTGTTATCACATGTATTAGTACTTATCTCAACTCGAATCAATTTAAGAAAATGTAGGAAATAATTTATTTAGAATATATTGTTCTCAATTTAACCGCACCGTGCCCCTTAGTAGACATCAAAAGGTTAAATATCAGTTTTACTAGTTACAGGTAATGTGAGCAAAACACCTTAAACCAGTTATTATTGCGATGTAAACCTGCAGAATGTCTGTACATTCTTACCTCTTCTATCAAGACAAAGTTTATTTTTTCAATTATTATACATATTTACAATTTGAAATTCATTCTTTATATATTAAAACGATCTTAGAATAGTGATACAATACTGTCATAATCGATATTTGCAAAAAAAGGAGACATGCATACCAAGACATTGTAATAGCCCTTAAACGTTATAGTAACCTTGTAGAATCATGTGGTTTCTTGATATTCTTAAAAACCTCATAACATTTTTTGTTTTACCCCAGGAGTGTATAACACAATTTTGGGACTAACAATCGTACTCGTTTAGGTTTTTACATTTTAAATAATCTATTAACTTGGTTTTGTGAAGATTTCTGCAGATATTCGAGTAATATAATGAATAATGATAAAATACATCTTCGGAGAGAGCTATGTTTACCTATATTGAACTATTGTTATTTTTCTGTGTTGTACTTTAACTCTGTGCATAATAACATAAGCTTTAAGAGTAAGGTGAAGGAAGTCCGTTCATGAATCTCAATTAATCTTCATCACGCACAAGAAATTAGTTTACTACGTTGAGCTGTAACTGTTACTCCAATCAACCAGGTTACCACGGATTTTCGACATGTTATGTTATACTTTGAAAATCAATTGAACTAGTTAGGCAAAGATACTTTACAGCTAAATTGAATTACGTCCTTTGTGAGAAAACTCTAGCAAAATGCTGATCCAACTTTTTAAAATATATTAATCTTCTCTCTCGACATGCATTGTGTTCATAAAAAATCAAAGTGATAAAAAATCAATTTGTAGTCCACTGAAGACTTTAAACAATCACATTGAAAGAAGTCTAAATAAAAAACCACGGGCTTCAATGAAATTCAACTTTAATTCACAAGATATTACACACTGGTAAATAAAATAAGATTTACATTACTAAAACTGAATGAAATAAGATTAACTATATAAACATAATCACGACATTTAGAGGGCATTTCGAATACCATTTGCAACACATAGCTGTGGCCAAAAAGCTGTTTACTGTATAGTTTGATCCTTTGCACCAATACTACTATTTCATTTGGCAACACGCTGTATCTGCTGAGTTAACCAACATTTCACATTATATTTCATATTTGCTCACACTCGAAACATGGGAATACTAAACTGTTTCAGTAAACGTAAAGATTCTATCAAAAATGATACTAAGGATGATGTCGTCGAACGAGGAAATTGGTCAGGTAAGTGCCATGGATTACATAACATCGTTTCATATTAACAAGATTCGGAACGCTATTATATAGTAGAAGTGTTTCATAGTAAATAGCTGCAGAAGTAATACGATAAGATATATGAGCACGTTCATGTTTTGCTTTACCTTTGCTGTGTGAATGTAACATGTACTGTTCTACATGGCTCATTTGTGTCGCTTTGAGTCTCTATAGTCTCTATTACTCCAAGATGTGTCACTGGTTTAGTAAACAAAAAATGAAATTGTTCAATAAAAAAAATTAACTATAATATATATTTCTGATTATCAGGGAAATTTGAGTTCATACTGTCCTGTCTTACATACGCAGTTGGCCTGGGTAATATATGGCGGTTCCCCTATCTATGTTACAGGAATGGCGGTGGTAAGTAAAATTAACCATACTTTAAAAGTACGAGTATGCTTGTAACATTATGAAAATCTTCTAAACATTTACTTACAAAAAGTTGATACATTAATATTTACTTGCAAAAATTTAATACTAATGATCCAGGATATTTGAACTGTTGCACAAACAAATGCATCTATGCCCATTAGATATCAAATAACCATGTACCTTCCCATGTTAAGTACGAATATCTACCGGGTGTTTCATTTGACCACCCCCCCATCAACCACCAATCCTAAATAGCAGACCCACATATGGTATACATCATATGTATTATGTATGTCAGTTTTAACAACTTGCTACATATCTCTACAAAAAGGTACCCATTTTACCTTTAGCATAGAATCTGAAAGTCACATTTTTCCAAAAGTAGCCACGTGTCCTGCAAAAAGCTATGATAACCATGCCTCAATATACTTATTTCTATAGTAATGTACAACTTCTAACATTCGATGGATGCTGAGGATATATAGCAATGATATTTGAAAGACATATATATTATCTAAATGTATTAAATATTTCAAAGATATAACCACGGATTATATAGCATTTTACTCCTCTCTTTAAATCCATCAGGAAGAGTAGACATAAATATGCAAATTGGGGGATAAGTGACTACCAAATACAAGTTCACAAAGTATGTTCCCAAAGATAAGGCATGTTAAGATTTGGCACATAAGAATTGATTAAGCTTTCTTACGGTATAAAGATTATGGGGGCATGTGATCTAGTAATGCCTGTGGATGGGGGACGGCCATTGTGAAACACCCTGTATATATCAATTTTCCAATTCTAGTATGTTATATTTTTCATTGCAGGAGCATTTCTGATTCCATATTTGATGTTCGTTGCACTTTGCTCAATGCCACTATTCTTCTTGGAAGTGGCATACGGGCAATTTGGCAGTCTAAGTCCTCTAGCAGTATGGAAAATGAGCCCACTCTGTAAAGGTGTGTAAGCATGATATTACGCATATACATTACATTGTTTTAAGTATATTTTGATTAGTTTAATGGAATGACATTTGTTTTGGCTCGTCCTATGACAGAAGCTGGGCAAATGAGACACATTTTTATTTTTAGTAATAATCCATGCATTTACGTGTATTATTAATTTATTATACATTATATCATTTATTCTAAATGAAAGCAAATGGAGGACTTATATATTAAATTTTAGTGTCGATATTAGGGAGTTTAAGCTTGCAATGTTTTTACAACCTAAACGTGAACGGAAAATATTGAAGCGATGCATTTGTATGGGCGATCGGTCATACGTATAGGTTGGCGTTTCGATTTTATATGCAAGCTTAAACTCAATAATATTTGCTCAAAGACGGGGAAAACCAAATAATGAGTCGTGACAGTATTAAGTAATTTTTGCCCTTGTCACGTTTTACTCCGGTCTCCTCTTATACAACTGGTATGGGAACCAGGCAACAAGAAAAGAGGTCTTATCACAGCTTTTTTCAATATTCTGATTTTTTGTTTATCTTATAATTAAAAAGCACAAAGGGACCTTTCAAATGAGTCTCGGCTTATGTCTTAACAGTTTTTTCTTGCATATAGACCAAAAATCGGATTTGAATTAAGCACATTCTACTCTTAATCTTGGGCACATTTTTGGTTCTGAAGCACAATTTTAATTTTTGTGATTAGACCGGTTTTCCTATGGCCGGGCTCATATGTTAAGTTATAGAGTTATTGTCCTATAAGGAGTATCTCCCAATTTCGTAGTACTTACTTGCCGTTGAGAAATACGTGGTATATGGAAAAAGGTCGTCATCAAATCTCTGAAAATGAAATAGGGGTGAAAATCCTTCATCTTTCAAACAAGTAGTTGACCTCTTATGGTCAGCAATGGACGAATGATCCAAATGGAATTTCAATTAAATCTAAATTTCTACAATTGTGGTATGCATCATTTTTTCAGGTATAGGATACGGCGTTGTTGTTCTTGGGACAGTGTCGAACATCTATTACATCGTGATTGTAGCCTGGGCATTCTATTTCGTCATCGCATCATTTACTTGGACGCTCCCGTGGATTACTTGTAATAACTCGTGGAATACGCCCCAGTGTACTTCTAGAATTATGGTAAAAATGCTGCTTTAGATTTTTAAAACGTAAATGTCCAAACGTTACAGATACATGCACATCAGTTAATCTTTTTATTGCATCTTTCTCACACAAACATTACACATGATAAGCATTCAGATCCATATATAGCACAGAAGCATATAATCATTACACATTTATCACACAATTCTAAGTTGGGATTTTTAAAAGACCATCTCGATTCAGAAGTTTATCTTTGTAATTATTCATTGAAGTATATACAACTAAGCATCGAATATTGCATGTTAAGGAACAAAATGTTTTCAAATGTTCACTTCGATTTATGTGTGTTGACCTTAAGAGAACGGGATGTTTCCCACGTAATCATAGACTAACCAAAGCTTACTCGAGAAGGTCCAATGTTCATTGCAGTTATTTCAAACGAGCCTTCTTATCAGTCAGATGCATCGGAACAGAAAGGTGTTCTGAAAAGAAAATCGCCCTCTCCTACTACTACTTTGTGTGCTTAGGAAAGGAAAATTCCACGCGCCCCCACTCTGAGTAAAAAGGAATCTCACCCCCACCACTCTCTGTGTACCAAGGAAAATAAAATCCACCCTCCCACTTCTGTGTACCAAGGAAAATAAAGTCCACCCTCCCACTTCTGTGTACCAAGGAAAATAAAGTCCACCCTCCCACTTCTGTGTACCAAGAAAAAGAAATTCCACCCTCCCACTTCTGTGTACCAAGGAAAAGAAATTCCACCCTCCCACTTCTGTGTACCAAGGAAAAGGAAATAGGAAATCCGTCCCACTTCTGTGTACCAAGGAAAAGGAAATAGGAAATCAGTCCCTCCCACTCTCTGTGCACCATTGGTCTTCCTCGGTACATGGAGAGTGAGTGAGTGGATTTTCTTTCCTTGGTACACAGAGAGTGGGTCAGGCGGATTAAACTTTCATTGGTACACAAAGAGTTGGAGGGTTTTATTTTTCATACAAAATGGGCACATAGAGATTTGAAAAGGTGGATTTCCTATTTGGGAGAATTCTTCTACCTGCTCCGATGCCCGTGGTTTCAAACATCGGTTCATGTAGCCTTTTTATCTCTGTTCTAGGTGAACAGCACATCGAACAATACAGCTGAGTACGCAATAAACAATATCACAGGGTATAACTTTAGCGGAAATGTAAATATATCACTTGATGGCGTTGGGAATGGAAGCACTCTAGTGAACACTTCACTAAGACGAGTAACCCCCAGTGAAGAATATTGGAGGTATGTATTATACAGGATGTCCCGAAAGTATGCCCCCCCCCTACGCAGACATATACCAGTATCGTCATAGTATGTGTCATATATCATTTTAAAGCTTATCCAGAGTTGTATTGATTCGCCAAGTATCATGGTTCAACTTTCAAATGTGAAAAAATTACAGGCAATTCAAAATTTAGTGTTTGGCCAAAATTAAGTTCAATTTTACACCAAATCACAAGTTAGTGTGTCCTCCCGGGCCATCTTAACAGCAGCAATTCTTTTCCGGTCGGATGGATATTGAGTTGGAAAAAGAGAACGTAGAGGGTAGGTACTCCAAGGAAACTCTTCTAAAGTGCTTTAAAGGTTTTAAGAGGATTACAACATTCTACACCCCAATTTGAAGAGATTTTAAGGTCATATCTGAAAAGAATTGCTGCTGTTAATATTGCCAAGGGAGGACTCGCTGACTAGTAACGTGGTTTATTTTGGCCAAACAATAAATTTTAAAATGACCGTCACTTTTTCATATTTAAGAGTCGAACCAGGATATTTGTCAAATCAATGTAGCTTTAGATAGGCTTTAAAATGATATATGACACATACTATGACAATACTGGTATATGTCTACACGCGTATGTGTACACGTTACTCAATATAGTTACTCATGATATGTTACTCACATATATGTTACTAACACATATGTTACTCACATATGTGTTACTCACATATATGTTACTAACAAAATGGATCAATAAACAAAATTGTTGCATGGGTTTGGGGGATACAATTCTCAAACTTTTATATTGATTCCAAACAGTAAAGAACAAATAGTTTTTAGATGCATTATTGCACATTTATGAAGCCCACTAACTTATGTACAATACTATAATAATATCACATGTTGTATTCAAGAAAATCAATTTATTATTTGAAATACGAGTGGCCCATTTTTGGACCACCCTGTATAAAGTACCTATTTTGTGAAATCATTAAAAAAAATCTCAGAGGAAACTCTTATGGTTTGGGGATTTCCACTATAAATATGACATATGGAAAATAATATTTTATGAACTTTTGAACTGAACTTTTAAACGTTAATGCGATTTATATATAACACTTCGTGATAAGAAGTTATCAAAATAACTCCAGATTTCAGGTTACAATTGATTGCCAAATAATAGGGAACATGTATGCCAAGAGACCGACAAGCAAGATCTACGTTCTACGATCTAAGTTCATGAAGTCATTTGTAAAATCTATGACAGAAACAAAAGCATGGTGTTTCCCATCTTCATTATCTCTACATCATTAAAACCTAATTAGACATAATTTAATTGCAAAATATAAGGATAATGTGGTTAAAGAACAATTTTCCACTAGAGTCTTTCCTTATCTGTAGCCTTAATTTTTGTGCAAGACATTTTCGTTACATTTTCAAAATGATTTGTGTTGAAGGCATTATTATGCTGGTGTGTTCTCTGCCAACAAAATAGTCATGTTCTCCCAACTCATTGTTCACTATTGACATTAATACAAATATAATTACACAAATTACAAATACAAGTTACAAATATAAACATACATGAAAATATAGTGCAAAGCCACCTCATTATTTTCGGTTTATTTTTTATGTGATATGATTTTTTAACTCTCCTTGATACGAATGGAAATAAAAAAAACCTTATATTAGTTTGTATTTGCGAATGTAACTAACGATTGTCGACTACCGGATTAGCCAAATATTGTATGAGCAACTCATTTGAATATGAATTCTAGTAGTACCTGCCGCTATTCTATTCATATTTAAATGAGTTGGTCATAAAGTAGGAGGTTAGTCCGGTAACCGACAGCCGTTAGTTGCATTCACGAATACAAGCTAAGTTACATGTGCATTGTTCACTTTAACAGTCGATATGTACTCGATATAACTGACGGGATAGAAGATATTGGTTACGTCCAGTGGAAGCTGCTGCTTTGCCTTGCCGCTGTCTGGCTGATTGTGTTTCTCTGTGTCATTAAGGGTATCAAGACTTCTGGTATGTATTGAAAGTTATTTAATTTTGTGTATCAAAAGCCTATCATTCTCTTTCTCCACCCAATAATTGTATTCGTAGTAGGCTCAGTCCCATATTTCGCGATGAATGCTGCTCATAATCAATTTCGTTTCTTGTTGGTGGGCGAGGGTGTGGTATCTTTAACCTATTAAAATAATTGTGACATGAGTAACCATTTTAATAAAAAAGGTTTGCACTTCCAAAACGTTTACTTTTGGGCGGTCTATAAGTTACTGAGATAGCATGTGCGAAGAGAAGTACTACATCTTCATCTGTCAGAAGTATGTGTGATCAAATCTCATTTATTCATAGGCAAAGTGGTTTACTTCACGGCTACCTTTCCTTACCTAATACTCACAATCCTGTTGATACGTGGTGTGACACTCCCTGGAGCAGCAGATGGTCTGAGGTACTACCTCATTCCCAAGTGGGAAAAACTTGGCAGCTTTAAGGTATATTGTTACCAGGGCATCTTTTTCATAAGTTGATGATAAACGCATGATATTTTCAATTAATTCATATGTTATGACGTTTTAGAGTATTCAAACATTGCCTGTTTTATGGTCTTAGGTCTGGGGAGAGGCAGCGCAGCAAATTTTCTTTTCGTCCGGTGTAAGTTGCGGTGCCTTGGTTACTATGGCAAGCTATAACAAGTTCAACAACAATATTCAGAGGTGAATTAAATCACTCATGCATTTCTTTTAACCAATCGAAAACATATATTTCTTGGATACCTTTTTGTATTTTTTGTATTATCATGGCTTGACATTATCTTGATCTCATCGAACTTAATGCAAATCAGAACCAAATTGCATTTTTGGTTTAGCACGATTTTCATATTTCATTACAGAGACGCCATTTTCATCCCAATCATGAATGCTTTCACTAGTCTATATGCTGGTTTTGTGATCTTCTCTATTGTTGGATTCATGGCTCACCAAACTGGAGAAAGCATTGATAATGTTGTAACTCAGGGTAAGTCCATTTTTATTCACAGGTAATGGACATTTAGCTAGTATCCGCGAATGCAAGTACTCATACTCGTTTCCCAGTTTGATTTTCAATCACATCATACCTTGAAAATCCAAGATAGTAAGGGCTACCGTTACCGGATTAACTATTTTATGAGCTACTCATTTAAATATGAATAGTACCCTTTTCGTCCAAATTTAAAAGAGTTGGTCATGAAATAGTAGGTTAATCCGGTAGCCGGCAGACGAAGGTGCATTCGCGAATACAAGCTAATAAGTAACGTTATATTTCGGAATGAGGTCCGGAGGCATGTCCGTCGACATTTCTTCAGACTTTGAATAGTGTTTAGTCCAATCTATGCATTTCTGGTGTATCTGTGTCTAAAAAATAAGTTTCAGTATATCTGATATACAAATTGGTACAGGACTTAACAGACGCTATGCGGGTGAGAGAAAATAATAAATAAAATGGTGCTGTCTGTTTACAACAAAAGGCGACATGACCTTTTATAATTTACAACGCTTGAAATGAACATCAAAGCTATACCTGAATAACAAATGCTTTTGTTCTGTAATCCGTTAGGTCCTGGACTTGCTTTCGTAGTTTACCCAGAGGCAGTCGCCAATCTCCCGGCTGCTCCTGTGTGGTCCGTGTTATTCTTCACAATGCTGCTAACGGTCGGTGTGGGCAGTCAGGTAAGAGAATGACGTGGTTTCAGGTCGTTATAATTACACTTCGGCGTCCACGTGGCCTTCACTGTCCGTGGTCACAGAAGTCACATGCACATAAATACCCATGACGATTAATCGCTATGGTTTGGGATACACTTATCCATTATTAGTTCATTTTATTAGGTGATATACTACTTGGATAGCGGGATATGTGTGTAGGACTGGGAGCCTTGAAAGTTCATACCATAATATTTTTCGAGGTCGTATACCATATTCCATTGTTAAACCCCCTTATACTATACCCCCTTATACCAAATCAAAGCATGTCAGCTGAGCGCTGTAAACGTTTGACATTGTCTATTGTAGTTTGCAATGGTCCAAAGCATAGCTGCGTCCATAACTGACGAGTTCAAATTGACAAACAAGAAAACACTTGTGACAGCAATTCTCTGTGCAGTGAAGTTCCTTATCGGCATTCCTTTGGTTACGCGGGCAAGTAAATTTTGTTTACTGAATGGTTAAGCATTAATGGGCAATCATTGCCGTTTATTGAAAATTCATTTTATCAACTAAGTTTGAAAAATGAAATAAGGTGGCTAAAGTCTCAGTCACATTTGCTCTACGGCGGCCCTACGGCGACCCTACGGCGGCCCTATGGCGGCCATAGCTAATCGATGTAGAAAATCTATATCGTACTTCTTATCCTTATGTTTTATGCTGCATAATTCTTTCGATTTTTGGAAGCTACGGCCGTCGTACGGTTGCCGTAGATCAAACGTGATCGAGACTTAAGCAGCAAAACAACCAGATTCGTTCACAAACATGCATAGTGAGATATTTTGGCAAATTATGACTTTTGATCACTTTTTAAATACACATGCATCAATAGTACTGTACAAGGCTAGTGCTGATAAAAAATGTATTCACCTTAAGGGTGGAATGTACGTACTACAAGTTATGGACTGGTATGGTTTTTCGTTCGGCGTAATGGTTCTAGCTTTCTCCGAATGTATTGCAGTGGCATGGATATACGGTAAATCATATAAATGTATTCTTTTTTATCTAAAATCTATGTGTATACACGTCATCCATTTTTGAAATCGAATGCCCTGATTATTTGAAAAAATCCTTTTTCTTTTTATTCTGCTTGAATGCTTTTATTCTAGATAGTTCCAAAATCAGTCACATTATGCCACAACATCGTATTACGTATATTATATGACTTTTAAAACATTTTCACCGTGCAATAACTCGTGAGCAGGATCGGATTGAACTCAACTCGGACATCCATTGCAAAGAAATGATCAACAGTAGTCTTGTCCAATGTTGTGGAATTAATAGTAATTGGTAATGTTGACGGAAATACTGATTTTAATGAACTATTGAGTCTCAATCTGCATCAGACATAGTAAAACATAATAATGTGACTGAACGGGCATACCATTTAATATTGAAGCATCTGGTCCTTTTCTAGGCATAGACCAGTTTTCGAAGGATGTTCAACTAATGCTTGGCTCAAAATTGTTCATTTGGTGGAAAACATGCTGGCGATTTATCACTCCTGGACTTATATTAGTAAGTGAGAAAGAACAAGTCGGTTTACCCTTTTCTCAATTCAGTTAACCCTTATGATGCGTTTGATACATGGGAGACCAAATCAGCATTGTCACTGGTGATCCACTCGATTACGCTGGTTACCCAAACGGTTCGTTTTGGTAACAAAATGTCGGAACATCGAAGGTACGATTTTTCTTTTTTCCTTATTTCACACGTTGTGGGCAGAATTCTTACGACATTTTTAACACAAACGTGTATCAGTATCATATGTTTAAGAAAATGTACATATTTGCGAACAAATATTTCAGAAGACGACAGAACCGTCGATTTAATTCCTCACTTAAGTTACATAAACGGTTTTTCGAAAAACAGTTAAGATCTGCACTTTTAACCCAAACCGTTCATGTAACTGGGGAATTAAATCGACGATTCTGTTGTCTTCTGAGCTATTTTTTCGCAAACATGCACATTTTCTAAAACATATGATACTGATACACGTTTTTGAGAAAAAAACGTCGTGGGTATTCTGCCTACAACGCGTGAAATAAGGAAAAAAGAAAAATCGTACCTTCGACGTTCCGACATTTTGTTACCAAAACGAACCGTTTCGCCGTAACCAGCGTAATCGAGCGGATCACCAGTGATTGTAAAGTACTTCAGGCAGCTTTGTGTTAAAGCACAACCGACAAAAAGATTGAAAGATTGAATAGAGATAACTATTGAGGTAGTAGTACTATTCCAGGCAAGTTCCAATCTCACGAAATTCTGTAACCAATCAATAACCGAACGTCATATAATCTAACATTCAAAAGGACTGTTCCAAGAGTTTCGATTCCCACGTTTCGAGATCGATTCCCAAATAACATACGTGAGGATGGGTGTAACCCGATATGTCTATCTTAACGGCAGTGTAGGACTGAGGTGTCTTTCCTAACTTTCAAGACGAATCCTTCAGCAAAAATAATGATGATAACTAATCAAATTACATTTTTTTGCTTTCTAGTTTATATTCTGCTTCATAATAATCAGCCACGTACCCGTGACATATGGGGATTATACGTATCCTAGATGGGCAATTGGTGTAGGATGGATGTTGGCCCTTTTATCTATACTACCAGTGCCGATATATTCTTGCTATCGTATATTTACTACAGTTGAAGGAAGTCTCTTACAAGTAAGTGATCTACATGTATATATAGTGTACTTGTAATATGCTCAAAATATAATACTTTTTATAAATTCGGGACGGATTGAAAGACGGATTGAAAATGGAAATAATTTTGTATGTGTCACTCTATACAATTCGATTCAAAGGCCATATATCTTAATCTACGTTTATATCCAAAGAACATGTGTACGTTTTATAGATTTTATTACATAAAATATAACATATTACAATTTAACCTTTTTGGCATGGGGAGACGGCTATCTATCGATCAGAGCTTGCGTAATTGTATACCAAAGAAACGATTACGTAATCATGAGATAATGTTACGTAACGTGCATATGCTTCCAAACACACATTCGTTAATCAAAATGACATTCTTTCAGCGTATACGATTCCTGAGAATGCCTGAACCAAGCTGGGGCCCATCGCTTGAAAAAGATAGAGAATTGTATATCGGGACATTGAGTCCGCAAAGAAAACGACATGTTTTGGGTCATATAGACTTGAACAGGATTTAATTCGTTTACCTTTCTAGGCAGCATTATCCACAGGATGGGACTTTTCCTACATACATTCAATCCAATCTTAGTTGAATATTGTCTAATCATTAATTCGGATAACCAAGAATCTCATTGACTTTAATATTTTATCTTCCCATGAAACACACGTATATAAGACTAATATAAGAAAATGATGAAACCATGTACATTCTCCTCAAAAGAGGGGGAGAAACCCCAGGGTTCAAAGATGACATACGCTTATAATGTAAATCTGTATTGAGATGAGATCGTCGCTGATTGGTTTAGCGAGTCGATCGTTGGTTGGTTTAAAACTAGGTCAATTTGAAAACTTTGAAAACCAAGATGGAGGGAAGTATAAATATACGTACTTCCGGGAAAGGAGGTGCGCGAGGAGGAAATCGTATGTCATCAATTGAATCATGGGGTTTTCCCTCCTCTTCTCCTCAATAAAGTTGGCAACCGGAAGTATACCAACACTATCCGATGATAACTTCTGGTTTCCAAAATTATGAAGGGGGATGTATTATTTGTATGGTAGTACGTAACATAGTGTGTCAATTCAAGAAGCAGATGAGGGAGTAATACAATGACACCTGATTATTTATTTCTATGAAATATATACCATGAGTAATATGCAATATATATTGTACTAAACTTGTCTGATGATTTATAAGACCATAGGATTTGGTTTAGTGATTTATAAAACCAAAACATTTAAAAAGTGTATCACTTTAATAAAATGAAAAGTACGCCATGATCAAAACTATAAAGCCAACAAAAAGTCCTAAAAGCAAGCCAATGACCTGTTATTCTTATTATTGAAATGGCAATACTCACCAACATGAATCTACTTATTGAGACTCGATCGAGTTGATTTCTTCTGAGAAAATGAGGATTTCAGCAAAGGTGTAGTGACTTAAGATGGGGATAAAATTGCTGCATATCACCATGTATGTCATCATGGGGATAGATACAAAATCCTCATCATCTCAAAATAAATTCTCAAATCATCTCAAATTTTGGTTAGCCCTGCGACTTATTGTCATGTTGGTAGCTAAAATCTAGTACCAAGCTTTTTTCTGAACATATGTACCATTGCAATAATTGATGGTAGTTTTCCATAGTTACATCATTGTTGAGTTATGGTTGCTACGATGAACATGAAAACATGGTAACATAAAAATGGTTCCCGGAGCTGATCAAAATCTGTTAATAAAAGCTGAATATCATTTTACTGATATGGGGTTTTAAGTTTTACCAAATACCCAGGATCCATAGGGCAGATTTTCAGACCCCCAACAAAAAAGCCCATATAATCAATTCATCATATAGTCGTATCATGTAATATTAATATAACGTTGTAAAGACCAGACGACGCAGGTCAATAACCAAATAAAAAGTTTGATACTCCGTTCAAAAGAGCATTACACAAAAGGTTTCTAAACACTCAATTTGATAATCAATGTCAATGTTCAGTTGGAGTTAGGTAGACAAAAAGAAAAGTTTACCATACTTGTTGAGCATTTTCAATAGGATCGGGTTGCGTTTAGGTCTAACAATAATAATTTAACATGGATTTAGTCTCAATCGTGCTCTATTTATGTTTAAAAGCAAATCCCAATTCAATTCTATAGTACTAGAAAACCAAATCACAATGGGATTATAATATTGAATGGAAATAATCGCTTGATCCGAACACATCGCTAAAGGAAGCCAAAAAGGTCAACGATTAGTAGTAGCACATACAATATACAAGAGGACTTAGCTACGAGACTAACATATATCCCTTATCATAAGTAAAAAAACAGTCGAAGAACGAAAGAGGATTCCTTTACTTTATTAAACTGTTTCAAATGTCCATGGCGTGATCACAAACTTGAGAGAAAGTACGTTGAATTATGGATACTTTGAAAAGCTGTTGGATATGGCACTGAAACTGTTGAAATAAAAAGTTTATTCCGATCAACTCTAGATCTGTGAAGAGATGCCTTAGGGACAATAGCCATGAGGTGAGTATGTAACTTCATTCAACTTAAAACAGTGTTAATTCTGAACATTTTGAAATAACATTCAAAATCTCACTGATTGCTTCTGTTTAATAATTTAGTCTTGATTTGAGACCCCGGACTATGTTCTCTAAGAACTGGTTGTTAAACGTTGTTAACATAGACAATCCAGTGTCTTGAAGGAAGACTATTTAAGATTGGGAATAAAATAAAACATTTACCCTTTGAACAAGTCTGAAGTAATCGATGTATAATATCTTTCAATAAAGATTTTAATTAAGTAAAAACAATATGCAAATTTAGATTTCAACGACATTTTAGGAGAATTTATGGATATACCCGCTACTGTAACTAAACTTCTAAACTAAATAAAATACATTGCAATATCAAGCAACTTTATAATTCTATTTTGCAATAAAATAAACTTTTTGTTTCACACATGCAATTTCACCAAATGGAATCTCTACAAAAAGGCAATATTAATAGAGATCTAGAAATGTCCATCTAGGCGATTACGCTATTATAACCACACATTGACGTAACGATAGAATTCTAATGAATTTAAAAAATTCATATCATTTTAGTTCACTTAGAGTTCCATCCGGTCGACTGCATACTTTCGGGCCAGTTGGACTCGAACTACAGACAGATGACGATGCATATCTATCAGCCAAGAACTTTAGAAAACCAGTACATCCCCCTGGTAGTCCAGCCAGGAATATGCCCTCGGCAGATCATAATAAGAGACAGAAAACATTTGTAAATGTTGAAGTTAGGAATTTTAAATATTGGGGAGAGTTACGACGAACAAAGACAGAGATAAAAAGAACGCCGATATCACAGGAAGGTAAAAACACATTTACCTGAATTTTTTTATTCATAGAATATCAATTCCATCCTTCTTCAACGGATTTCATTTATGTAATTGAAATACTATACATACCCTTTCTGCAAGGATGATCCATCCGATTAAAGGTTTCTATCTTGTTTAGTTTATTTAAGTTTCATCGTTGTTTATAGTGAAAACTTAACACACTGAATGAAAATAGAATGTAAACCCAATACATGCTTAATAACCACATTTAAAGTATATGGCAATTATACACTTTACAATAATCATGAAATAATTGTGTACATTAAACTAGAATACAAAATTAATATGAAGAACTAGGACTGTACTCGAATATGTAAATCCGGCAATTGAGCGGTTGCAAATTAAATGCGTATCGTGTTTTTATAGATATTCAACGAGAAAAGATGGCGATAAATTACGACAGACGCCGCATGCATACAGAGCCAGCGGAAATGAATCCGGAGGATTTTCTGAAGAAATTGACGCTTGGAAATCAAGCTATAAGTGCTTTTAAGGGACCATCTGTTGGAAAAGCAAAGAAACCACTTGGAAATAGACTCCTGAAATCATTAACTGCAAAAAAGAATACTGGTAGTCAATCTTAACAAATGCGACCTGCGGACGCGATATGTGTAATACATGTGTCAAATGATATAACCTACAATAGAAAGACTTCGCACAACATTTTTAGCTCAAGCTTGAGGTATATTTGTAACGCATTCGCCAGATTCATGTGTAGCAGTACAATTAAAACGAGATGCGGTTGTGGATATGTTGTAAGTCGTTGTGCGAAACTCTCTTTTGTCAATCGAAGTATTGTTATAAATTGCGAACCATTAGTATATTAACTATAGCATGAGGCTATCCCCGGGGGCGGGGGCACTCCCAAAGTCACCCTTACAGAAGTACGTAATGCATATGGATGACGTAAGATATATGGAGAACTGGTACTCTCGGGGAAATTATATACAATAGTCACGCTACCAAATTAACAATGGAATACTATTAAAGTAGAAATGCCTATTATTAGTTAACTGCAGTTGAGTTTTATCTATTACAGATTTTCCAAGTGTCATACCACATCGTTAGATCATTATTATTTTCTATAAAAAGTATTTTTATTTCAAGATAAAAACATTTTAAAGTAAAGTTATATTTATTATGTTTTGCTATTCTAAATTCGTCTCTCATAGATCAAAGTTTTGTCCGATGTATTTTGGGAAATATTACAAGTAAAGCACAGATGCACACATGTATATACTGTATGTATTTGGCCCAATAAGATGAACCATTTGTGTCATATTTCAGCTTTTTTGATTTTTTGCAACTAAGATACATGTTTGAATCACATTAAACGGGGACCGAGGATCGATGGTGGAATATTTTGAGATATATATATATCTCTGGATCTTAGAATACGAAATTAATGCGCATCTTTTTATTGGCGTCATTAAGAAATACGCAAGACTCCCGAGGCAAGACCAAAAGGAGGAGATTTACAAAAGTTAAGTTATGCCACTGTGACATTAGATGGCCCACTCAATAACACATCTAATTCAGAAAAATTCAAAACAATTGACGTCTAAAATGTCAGTTACTAAAAATTAACGTCTAAAATATTTGCATCAGTCTAGAATGGAGGCTGAAATATTCAATATCACATATACAGGGTGTTTCATATGTATGCACCCCCTCTAAACTCATACATGTAGCATTGCCACCCTATCGTGTTGTATCATTTTGTTTCTTATGGAAAGTTACATAAGATCGCAAGATTTCAGAATCCCGGGGTGTCACTGGAAAAAGATACGATGTATCAAAGTATGTGGGTAGGGGTTATTGAGAGAGCAATTTCTGGTCATTTTGAGGGCAATTTTAAGAACAGATTTATTGTCCGTATTTCACGTTCCTTGCAGTTGTCATCATGGCAGAGTTAAGTTCACAAGTCAGTGACAGTTGTGCACAAAGATATATTGCTAGGAATGGCGCAGTGGCTTATAGGGGGGCCAGGGACCATTTCATGCATGATACTACCTTTATCACTAAAATGGGAACCGGACAAAGTGAACTGATCACCGTACTGGGTCCAAAAGTGCTTATAAAATGCTTATAAATGACCCCAAACCCGCATATTTTGACACATTTTATCTTATTCCAGAGACACCCCCGGATCCTGAAACTTTGCAATCTCATGTAACTTTCCATAAGGAACAAGATGATGGCAAAGCTACATGTATTAGTTTAGAGGGGGTGCTTACATATGAAACAGCCTGTATATATGTAATATATAATATCATTTAATTTATCTCCAACAGTACACAAGATTTTTGAGACAGGCATCTCACTGACACAGGGTTTTCTTGAAAATCCTTTTTGAATGTCTCTTTCTTAAACTCTATCATGTTTAGATGCAAAACATCGGTTCAGTTTTACATCATCTCGCTGGGACCATTTTCTATTTTAGACCGAATTAAAAGTTAGCATGCCACAGTTTTCGTATAAATCTCCATCATTCCCTAACGGAATTGTTAACTCTTTTATGGCTACATTGGCAAACTAAAGCAGGGATGACTTTTTTCAGGGATGACTTTTGAGTGTTTCCAAAGTGGATATTATGGTTCTATTGATTCTAGTGTTTGTCTCAGTCGACTAAAACATCATTAGCAGTTCTGTCTTGCCATTCAGAATTTATATGTTTTTCCAAATTTTGAGTGGCGGAAAATACCCACTTAATATGTATTCAAGTAATGAATTCAAGCTGTATTTATCAAAGATTCTGTGTATCCCGGGAATATAGCAATCCTGAAAGAGACAAATTGATTCTATGATATATAATATCCATTAATAATTAATCAGTGTCAACGATTTACATCTTATGAGATCGAAGTGAATCAGCTTTTGGGCGTGGACTTGCTCTAATTTCCGAATCCGGGTAGCTATTGTATCTTCTGAAAATGAGAACGGTATTAAATTAATGAAAAAGATGCATGTGTAGAAGCTATTACGCACCCGTATGAAATAGCATCAAGCATCAATGCTGTAATTAGGTGTGAATTAGTAGCGGTAAATAATTGATTTATATACATATATCCGTAACATGAAATGAGATGCTGGCGATGCTACATAAGTATAATCGAGAACGAAGAAGTAAAACTAGCCTGCGATAAACTCTTGCATGTCCTCAGATTTCAACATATTCGAGACGTTAAGGAAATGAGCATCTATTTATCGAGCGTTTGAAAAGAAATTGTGTGGATTATGCAGAACCAATATGTTGTTTTCTGCATGGGAACACAGCGATGTAAAACAAGTAAAGGTTTGTCCGTATTGATGTGAAATGGAGACAATTGTATTACACAAGACATGTAATGCCGATTTACCTTGATCGAACACAAGCTGCTGGATTGCACCTTTACCTGCCGGGGATCAGTAAGTGACGGAGGTATACCTTGTATAAAATCCTAGACGGGTCCAGGAAACAAGATAATTTCAATGCATAGAAAACGTATGGTAATACCGTATGCGACCGCCGCCCTGCATCGTGATGGCAGGTTGCCATAGAAACAGTAATACGCCCTCCCAGAAACGACTGTCTGATTAATTGGAGGCAATACACGGACATTATAACACACGCTTATATGCAACGCAGCCATTTCACCTTACAGGTGCAAACATAGAACGGATTAACTAGCCAAATCTAAGGATTATTCACGCTTTCTCGCGTCAGGAAAGAATTCAAGACATCGTTGAAAGATCATGGATGAAATTGAGAACGGATAGGCTTAATGTAGAGATAATTCAGATAGATTATTATAAGGTAAGTAAAAACAGTATTGTGTCAGATTGTAAATTGTAATATCTCTAATGGCGTTGATTTGCTTGTTGATTACTGCAAGTGGTATTATCACGTCGAACAAGATGGTACAATATATCAGTGCGTTAGGTGTTTAGTATACCAAAAGGGGCATTGTATTAATAAAATCCTTACATGATCCGACATTACTTATTGAATAAACAGGTAAAAACGTGGACTTATTATAATTGTAATATTTATTATGACATAATGTGAATATTTGTCGTTCTCAAGTTAGTTAGTCTGGTTTGAAGAAACTGTATTCGGAATAATGTAAGGTGAAAGTACAAGATCATTCTTAAAATGGAAGCTTTGACTTTGATGGAAGCAAAGCTTCGGAAACGAGGATATGTATACGTCTGAGTCGATTAGTAATCTTTCGAAAGGTTATAATTGAAAGGTGTTATATATTTGACCAGTAATACAAGAAAGCAGGATAAAGTGTTGTTTTAAATAAAAGTGTAATAAGTGCTTTGTAATTTAAATAATATAATATAGGAAATGTCATATGATGAAAATAGGTGTACCTTTCTAAACGTAAGACCACTTCTGCAATTTAGTGTTGACACATCCATTGATTCGTATTTTTGCATGCTTAATATGACAAAATTTAAACGATGAAGTACCAGCAATGAATCTCCCTCCCTATTAAAATGAACCATTTTTGAAAAACTCTGGTAAATAATCTTTTAAAAAGTTCCCGAGAAAAATCGTGACAATAGGTTTTAGTGAACCGGATTCCAGAGCAGGGCGTGGCAAATACTTCTAGTCAGATACTTCTGCATAGCATGTAAGTAAAGAGCTTTTAACGCGGCACTTGTTGGCTAAACTCCGCAGGGAAAATATAACCGTAGAACATGGAACTAGTGTCGTCACGAACAATGGTAAATGGGAGTAAATTATCAGAACAGTCGGCAATACATCTCTCCATAATGACAACATAGACAGAAAAGCTAGAGTGGTAATAACTAGTACATTGTATTCTCTATTCATTATGTGACGGATTTTAGCTAACATTCCTGGCGATATTAGCCTAATTAGATCAATGCTATTCACACTCTGTACTCTCCTATTGTTCAAATAAATCCATGTATTTCTCGCAATTACTTGCTAAGTTACTATTTTTAAATTCTGACTCAAATTAGGCGATATTAGCCTAATTAGATCAATTCTATTCACACTCTGTACTCTCCCATTGTTCAAATAAATCCATGTATTTCTCGCAATTACTTGCTAAGTTACTATTTTTAAATTCTGACTCAAATTAACAATGAACTCGTGAGTCGTACGACAAGGTTAATGCTATTTGTTTAGTTTATATAGAAGGTTGCCCACTTAATTATACGGGTGTATAATAGCACTTAAATAGGGGACAAACCATTTTTTAAGAGGAGATAATTGTGACGAATTATGTTTGTTGCGATCAAGGCAAATTGAACGCCACGATAGGATAATTGGAAAAATCAAACACAGCATTGAAAAATATCGAGAGCGCAAATATCCTCGGGGCTTTCAATCCATTCTGAATATCTTGAAATCAATAAAAGCAGGATGTTAAATATGTATTGATATGTTGTCATGGCAAGGTAGGTCAAGTCACATGAATAAACCAGCTAATAATTAACTTGTAGGTTTGAAATGTATGTTCGCAAAGCGCATGCGCAAACAAATTCACTGTTTTAGGGACGATTTCTTGTCATGGTTTACTTGTAGATCATCATTAGATCGTATATTATCTTTGGGATGAGTACAGCGCAAATTCTTCATCTAGATATTTTAGCCTATTGAAACGACCATTGGGCAAGCTCGTCGGGGAGCTGTAGTGTACCGAGACAGATACTAGACTCGAAAGAGAATGTGCTAAATTCAATGCCCCGTACGGGAATCGAACCCAGGACCTTCCGCTCTCAGAGTCAGACGCTCTACCCCTGAGCCATAGTAGCGACTTGCTATCGAAGGTCATTACACTATTTTGAGCATTGACAAAACCACTTACATTCATTGGCATTGGCTGATTGCATATTCATCTAAGATAGACGACTCATAGCTGCTTCTAAGATTCTAAGAATCATCAAACCCCACCTATTTCGGGTATTCTGTGAGATATATGAGAATGAACAAGGTTTAAGCGAAAAGCCTCAGCTCTTCAGCACATACACTATAGGTTCATCAGGCTGGGTGTGTTCAATTTCGTCAGCAATAGCATTCATTTTGATTACTCGTGGTATCTTTCTGTTTTCAAGCTATCAATATTACTCTAGATAGAAACTGATAGAAGGCTGTGATATATCACGATGACTATCAATTATCATCAGGTGAACTGGAAGAGTCAAATTTGAACAAGCCTTCAGACAGAATTTCTCATTTTCTAAATGCTTGAGAGCATATTAATTCCCAAGAACGTGCATTTGTTTGATCAAATGAATCGCATATTACTTTTGACATTGTTGTCCTAATCAATTGACATTTTCAGTTACGTCTTTCTTTGTTGTCATTTTGATCACCAAGGCAATGTAGGTTCCCTCCCTAAAGTTCAGTTTTTTCGTCAAGGAAGAAATGTTTTAGAGTTGTTCCATGTCTGAATTTCCCATGATACAGCTCCGGAAAAAGTTGTTGAGATGCCACCAATATTAGTTTCGAGATGTCCGAATATTTCCCGATTTTGACAGCCGCTAGGCAGTTGATTTATTGAAAATGATTTATCTGCGTGGACAGTCAATACAATAATATCCACTCTCAACTTTATTGAATATCGTCTCGGAGGTTGTATACCTGGGGGTGTTATGAAGTCAAGTGATTAAATTTATCGACTACTTGTAATCATGTGATACCCGTCTTTGTGTAAATATAGCTACTACGGCACTTCCATCAATTAATAAATCACTCGCTATTATTAACATGTGATTATATAATAATTTCGAGACTTTCAAATATGTCAATGATCATTACTGATGAAATCAAGTTTACACAATCAGGTTGCTCTATGACAACGGTCGGTTTATTGCCCTTTAACATTAATGTATTCATATATGGCGTTCATACTATTGTGAACGGGTTAGATGATGAAAATAACAATTACCCTAAACATCGCGAATACGATAATGATGGCATATAATCCTGAGTGTATATATCACACAATTGAAGATCACGTTTGCAATAACAATAAACACCGGCCCGTTGTTTAATACCCAGGACTTCCCAAGGGCGTCACTTCAGCCTTATTAAGTTTAGTAGGGGATATATTGGACGATCGTGACTCCAAGATATGAACAACGATCGCGAGTCTTCTTGAAACTAGCTGAATAATGGCATCGGTGTTAAAGATGAGAGAATCGGAAGCCTCGGGTGAAGTGACTCTCTGTTCAAATATTTATAATCTAGATCACAAGCAAATATTGTGATAGATTCAATGGATCGTGAAACAGTGTTACTCAAATGTTATAAGTTGTTCCATTAGACGTGTTGTTAAGGCGCATGCGCGTAAAAGTGTTTAGTAGACAAGGATGATTGGCCATTGTGGGATCCACGGCCTTTACTCATTTTGGAATAGTTCTCTCAAAAGCGTTAGGTAAAGAGGGACTCTGATAAATCAGAATGAGGATTGGCAATTCTGATATATCAGAGTCTCTCTTTATCTTAAAGGAGAAATATTTATCTTAACCAGTTCCCATCCTTTCTTCATTCTTTGTTTATGGATAACACGAAAGCTAGCATGTTCTTCAGTGTAATTCGTGTTCTACCAACAGAACGAGAACGTTCTTCAATGAAATTCGTGTTCTACCAACAAAACGAGAACGTTCTTCAATGAAATTCGTGTTCCATCAACACGAGTACGTTATTCAATGAAATTCGTGATCCATCAATGATGGCATGCGAGATCCCTCAACTGTACGATTTTCAATGAAATTCGAATTCTATCAACACGAGTACGTTCTTAAATGAAATTCGTGTTGAATTAACACGCGTACGTTCTTCAATGAAATGTGTGTTCTGTCAACACGAGTACGTTCTTCAATGAAATTCGAGTTCTATCAACACGTGCACGTTCTTCAATAAAATTCGTGTTGAATCAACACGCGTTTGTTCTTCAATTAAGTTTGTATTCTATACACAAGATTTTGTTCTTCAATGGTGTTTTATCAACACAAGTACGTTCTTCAATGAAATGTCTGTTCTATCAACACCAGAACGTTCTTGAATGAAATTCGTGTTGAATCAACACGCGTACGTTCTTCAATTAAGTTTGTGTTGTGTTCTATCAACACGAGTACGTTCTGCAATGAATTATACACAGGAGTGTGTTAACTCAATTGTAAAGTAGAGCTATCGTGAAGCGAGATAAATATTTTTCAATAAATCACACACTATAAATATTTACAAATATCTTCCTCAGGATCAGAGATTCACTTTGATCGTAAGTATAGCCTCATAAAACAATGATTTGAATGATTATTGCACGATGCCCAGAGATTCAGGAATGGAATAATGCATATCTTGATAGTAATATAAAAAACATTTTTTGTGTTATGATGCATTATAATAGTACTTAGTAATGGAAATATTTGTAATATAATATGATACATTTGCATTTTTCTGGGGCCTGGATAAGTACGAATCATGCATGGTAACTGCCAGTTCGATAAAAAAATTGGATGGGAAAAATTCGCCCTTTCGGTTTTTCTAATGACGCTATGGATCCGGATATGAGGTCCAGAGGTAGGATTGTGTCTTCCAATGGCACTAATTCTATTCAACGTTTACATAAAACATATTGGGCGATTCTTGCAAATCTGCATGCCATGTCACTCAAAAGGTTCATGTGCAGTATGGCAAGTGATTTTAGATGGTCATATCTGAAACCATGAGTACGTTCTGGGCATAAATATTTATGTATTCATTAAAGTGAGGTCCTCAGGATAGTAAAATAGCAATCCAACTCTCTGAAAAATTATGGTTTAGGACCCCACTTTGGCACTTTTTTAAAAATGTTAGACTTATTTCTAAAAAGAGGATCTTGTTTTTCTCAATTTAAAGGGTGACGATAAGCATCCCGTATAAAAACAATATGGCGGCTCCAGGCGAATCAACTGGATCAGTCCATTTTTAAGAAATAAGGGGAGTTCTGTAAAATCCAGTTTATTAAAATTGTCTTTGAGATAAAGTAATCCGTTTATAATGGTTTTGAAAACGTTATCCAAAGAGTGATTGCGTTCAAAGAATACATGTACAACAGCCTTTATAAGTCCTTGTATTAGAAACCGGTTTGTCTTGCTTTGTTTCATTTGTAGGATATTTCATATGCCAAGCTGTGTGCTATTACGTTATGGGGAAATTTAGATGTCAATTTTTCCTTATTATACACAAATAGAAGATCCTGAAACTTCACCCATAAATGTGGAATTGATTTGTCAAAATAAAAGTCACCCTTTTATAAATGTGTGACGATCTATAATATACTTATGCTATATAACAGTTAGAGGTGTTGACACAACAACCTCGAACCTGTGAACCCTTGAGTATTATTCCGGGATCGGGCCTTTTATACTAAACGGTGAGCAACACCAGAAACGAGCGTTCGATTTGCTAAACGATATGCGTCACCCTTTAAACATATCAAAAGTTTCTTCTACACTATATAACAATTTCTGAAAAGGGGATGGGTATTGAAATGCATTAAAGTTAAAAACCACATATTCCATGTTAATTTTCCCATTGGGAAAACTCGTGCTATCCATTGTTTTCAGCATAATTTTGGTCATCGAAAATTGGTATCTTCAAAACTAGACCTTCAATACCATTATACTTTTGAAGAACTTTTAGACCCCTTGTTGAATAATCTTTTTATGCAATATAAATCAGAAAAAGAAGATCCTCTTTTGAGTAAATGGGTTAAACATTTTGAAAACATTGTTGACATGGGGTCCCTATTCATAATTTTTCGAAATGTTCGATTGATATTTTTATTGTCATGGGTACTTCACCTGAAAGAAAACATAATTGTTTTAATAAAAACCACTGTATTTATGCCCAGAAAGTACTCGTGGTAAAAGATATGACTGTCTAAAATCACTTGCCATACTGCATATGGACCTTTAAACTTCTGATTGGCTTTGGAGACGAAGTCTCGCGAGTTGCCCGGATGTAACCGAGCAAAAGCCGGAATTCACCTTGTCCCCGAATGGTACATACTGGCGTTTATGCTACCATTGAATCCGATGCTCAATCACTCCTATCGCTAATTTTAATGAGGCATCACTAGTGACTCTATCGCCCGGATTAGTCGAGCTAGATTATAGGCTTTACCATTGCCAATCAGTCCATCGCTCAAGAGAATAGCTGCCTGTAGATGAACGGCAATAGTGGGAATTATTTGAAATTCAAAATAATCCTAAAAATGAACTAAAATAAAAAACGGATTGGCAGGACGTCCGAGCAATTAGCTAGTGAGTAATATTTCTTCAAAATCCGTAGAGAATCCTTCGGTCTGTTAACGTTATAAAGAGTCTATATGCGTTACTGATGACCAGGGTGTTTTTAGAATGCACAGTCATGAACGTCCAGTAATCCATCATTAAGAGAAAGCTAGTTTCCCCTTCGAAATAAGATCCAATGTATTAATGAGAAAATTATCGCGAGCACAGAGACATGATCGAGTGAATCTGGAATTTAATTCCAGACTACTGTTTCAACGGTGGAGGTTTGAAAGATCGCGAACCCCTGGTGCTGAACCAATGTATTTGCAATCCGAAGTCAAAACATAAAATGGATGTGTCAGATGTAGAACATGTAGAGCTGGTTAATGCAATTAAAATAACACCTCGTACCTTTCTTGGACGTGCAAAAGTGAGAGCAATACGATATGTGTTATATTTTTTCATCTTAAGTATCACCAATCATTTAAAACGTACACTGCTCTCCACAACTTCCACAAGTTTAGCCAATAGCAAGTCCACAGCAGAATTTTGTATTAAAGCCTTTTTATGTTTGGCCATCTAAAAAATACCAGCAATGAATAAAGAACAAATAAGAGTCAAACATAAACACACGACATCAATTGAAGACTTCCGTTACCAGCTGTCTCACGGAGGCGAGTGTAATTTGAAAAAAATCTGTTAACTTTGTTCTATAATCTACACAGTCGTTTGTTAATGACAACTGAGAAGGTGACATTCCTTTTTTGATCCGTAGATCTAGTTGTTATTCGTTGTCTCAGTTCCCGTTTTAAATCTTGAAGTTCATTTGGTGAAATGTCAGCTTCAGCTCAAAAGGAACAGGTTCAGAGTGCCTTGTTATTTGTTCAGCGTTTGATTATCTCTGATTAAATGATAAGTCGGATGTAACCTACTACCGAACCAGGATCGAGATGATTTCATTTTACTACCAGAACTATTAGGTCACTGATAGAAAAATGGGTAGAAAGCCAACGTAGTACTCCGGACACATTTGACACTATTTTGAATAATGATTAAAAAGCCTACGTAGTACTCCGGACACATTTGGCACTATTTTGAATAATGATTAAAAAGCCTACGTAGTACTCCGGACACATTTGACACTATTTTGAATAATGATTAAAAAGCCTACGTAGTACTCCGGACACATTTGGCACTATTTTGAATAATGATTAAAAAGCCTACGTAGTACTCCGGACACATTCGGCACTATTTTGAATAATGATTAAAAAGCCTACGTAGTACTCCGGACACATTTGGCACTATTTTGAATAATGATTAAAAAGCCTACGTAGTACTCCGGACACATTTGGCATTTTGAATATGCTTTACTTCGCATCTTTTAAAGAAATCGCTGTATTTATTAAGTTTCGGGGTATAAATTATTTTGAAAAAACAATATTTTTAATTGGCCTATAATCTGATGAAATTTCGTTTTGTGTCTCATTGCTTATTCAGAATGGCTGTTAACTTTGTAAATTCTCGCGTATTTAAACAAGATTCAAGATTTATCGTGCTTTACTCCAAACATCTGGCTTCCCCACAAATCAATAACCATGATATTTACATAATAATACATTTATACAGCAACCCATATTGCTTGTTGAATATTTTAATACATAACCATTATCCAGCAATTTATGTTTTTCTTTTTCAAATAACTTTAAACAATATTATGTCTCCCGATTTCACAAGATCAAAGCTATAAGTAATGTGCTTATATTGATAAAATCGTTACGTCAATGTGTGTGATATTTAGATATTGTTAGATAAACTACGTCTTCAGTGATACGAAGGAGGTGAGCTGAAGCGTTTTTGATTTCATTTTAAGGCAATTTAGGGCCAACTTTGAACCATGGGGTATCTTCTCTCTTGAACTATGAATTCCACGAGTGCTTTGAATCGTGACTCATATCGTTGTGACATACAGGTACCTTGAAAATTGATACCGAACATACTTTACAAATTAAGTAATCCCGTAATATAGCCTACATACATATCGATGAAATAAGATGGATCAATTTATGGATTTTATTCAATTTATTGACGATGTGAGGAAAACCATGATAAATCATAAGACCTCAAACATGCTGTCGATCTGGAGATTCAAACCAGGAAAATATGCTAACTGCAGAGTTGTGAATGATCAAAATGAATTAAATCTCGTTCCTGGAATCTTAGGTTGTATAATTCCGCCACTTGCTCAGATCCAGAAATACCACAGCCTGCTAGAAAAACATAAATCCATACAAATCTACGTACTTAATCTAAATTAACGTTTTCACTGAATTGCTTTAACAATGTTTTACTGTGTCTATCCCGTTAATGATATATCACCCTATGTCATCGTTTGAATCGCAAAATATATCACCCTATGTCATCGTTTGAATCGCAAAATATGAAGGACGGGCAGGGGAAAATCAAACGAAGAACTTTGGGAATAAAGTTATCAAATCGAACGGTGACAACAGTTAGAAAGAACATATAAAAACATCGAAAGGCCGCAGTAATGTTCAATATGAGCACCGGACGGTAAGATCGTTTGTCAAATATATACTTCGCCCTATTTTCTGACGAGGTCATTTATTTGCGATTCTCTGTAGATTTATGGCACTCTTGGCTGAATCATCACGTGACTAGAATAAAGCGGAGTGATATATCCACGATTCGGAAAACCTAATGAACCCATCAAGGAGGATTGGCTCCCAGAATCGAAGTCGATATTTTCCAACAATGAAAACGCCGAGATGTCGTTATTTTCTGAAATTATAACCGATTATAAATTCAAAATAAACAGTTCAAAAGATTCGAACCAATATCTCGATCATTTCCTGTGAGTTTTGGAATTTTTCGTTAGGAAATAAGACCAAAATTCACGATTCAAATGTTGAAGTGAACAAAATGGCGGCTGTTGGAATTCAAATTTTGTAGCACGACATGCCTATATATGGGACAGAATATCGATGTTGCAGTCTGGGAGCCAATCCTCCTTGGAACCCATCTACATTGCGGTTGTGATTCGGCCTTGTCGTAAACCAAGGCTTTATTTTTATCAGCAGAATAAAATGAACAAGTGTATAGACGAGATTTGTAATTTGTATAACTTTAGGTTTGCATGTTTCTCGGTACTATGAAACTAGACTTGTAAATTGGCGTATAAAAATGATTGCATTCATCGATCGGCAACTGTCGGCATGTGTTATACTACTCCGACAACACATAATAAGCTAAACACATTTCTAATCGAATGTGATACTGCAATTAAACACGTCAGAAATATAAAGAGGTGCCCTTTCGATATTGTACTTTGATTTAGTTTCTTTAAAAGAGATATTCATCCTGCTAGTAGTTTACTTATCAAAGTAAATACTAGGTCCTGGTCTTAGTAGCCTAAGTGTAATAATTTTTGGGATACGTAAAATAAAGTAGTTCGGACAGGGATAATTGAATCCCTTCCTTTGATGTAAGCTTGCGATCCAATGGGTACGAGGCCAAAAAAGTCTGATCATATAAAATACTGTCCAAAGCTGTTGTAAGTCTGGCTCAGGAGATCCTCCTCTTATATGGCAATTTGAATATTTGCACGGCAGCTAATCAACGACTTACATTTATTGAAGTAGAAAGTGCCATAATTGCCCAAACCCAAAAATAGCATTCAGTTAACCATTTTCACATATTACTAAGATTGCATTCGTGAATGCAACATTCGGCTGCCGGCTACCGGATTAACCTACTTTTTATGGACAATTCATTTAAATATGAATAGTACCTGTCATTACTCCATTCCAATCTGTTTATTATGAAAGTTGTTTTGCGAATGCAAGGCTGTCGGCTACCGGATTAACCTACTATTTTATGACCAACTTATTTGATAATGTATGGAATATTGGCAAGTACTATCCATGTTTAAATGAGTTGCCAATAAAATATATTTAAATGAGTTGGTCATAAATTAGAAGATTAATCCGGTAGCCGACAGCCGAAAAGTACATTCGCGAATTCAAGCTAGATCTAATATTTATGCATTGATATCCTAATGAACAAATGGATTAGTACTCTACTAAGCTAGTTAATACAGCAGTCTATAGCAGTAACTAACGGATACTGTCGCTGATTAAACCTCAATATCTGAATATCAAGTGGTAAAGGCAATAAAAAGGACAATGTCATGTGAACATCCCGAAAGCAAATGTAAATTACCCTTTACAAAAGGTCGTCTTTGGTCTTTAAACGAGAATTGATTGTTTTTGATCGTGCTAGTTCCAATCAAAATATGAAGACGCAGAATTACGACAGAGCATGGACAACATGCAAATAATCGTCTTGAATATTTGAGAAGAGTGTGTCCACCTATCGAATTTAAAATTCACTTGATTAAAGTTGTTGGTCATGTATGGCCATGTTAAAAGAATATGTGTCATTTAGGCTGTCAAAAATACAATTTTATTTTTGAATTTGGAAACGTACATTTAAAGCAGATCAGCATGACCCCGCTTACAATCCCAACGACAACTTCTGCAAAAAGCGTTACGATTGGTTGCTTATTCAACGATTTAAAATTAGGGCAAGAATAAGTCTGAATACTGGAATATCACGATTAACATTAATTCTTCATTTTACTAATGCAATTTACAAATAACAATTAAAACTAACAACGGAAAGATAATCAGAGAGCAGGCGTTATAATTGTACTGGTAACTAACACTACTGTAATATTAATTCAACCTTTAAGCATCAAGTTCACGATATAATGAACATGAAAAGTAAATAAATAAAACCATATTGATTATTTCACTATCTTTCAGGTTAATTAGGTACAATGGTGTCATTGTGTACTGTAATGACGCAACGAAATCGAAAGTTCATATTCGAGATTTGAAACAATGGATTTGTAGATTATTTTGCAAATATTATCATAATCATGGAGGTTATTTATCCGGGATAAATGTAAATAAAAGGATCAATTGGTACCCAGGTCGATTTTTAATATCCATGTAGACACGATACACTTAAAAGTTACAGATGATACTGCGATTTATAAAACGGCTTGTATCCAAGAAATAGCTAGGACCTTACTAAAGCTTTTCTAACCTGTGCCACGCCCCGGCCCCCGATGCTACCAGGATCCGAGGATATTAGGGACGAAGCACCCTGTAAAACCGACCGTGTCTTCAAATGGGCAATCATGTAGTTTAAAGTATCTACAATAATCGCCCGTGTGGTACATAACTTGAATTTTAAATCCCACCGCTGCCACCAGTGTAATGGACTAAGCACCTGTTAAGATGGAGTAAAAATTGTTTGTAGGATAACTAAAAAGAGATTAAAGTATACGCTATATATGGGATAGAACCTCGAACTTCTATGTTTTGAGTCTTATACTCTAACCTTGAACTACGAAACCATAGACGCAAGGAGGAAGTATGGAAATGGCGTGAGTATTTATTGCACGCAATTCTCATTTTCATGCTAATTTTCTCATAATCTTGAAATTCCGTGCTTAGTAAAACAGGAAAACTTATTGATATTCCAGAAATATATATCTCTGCCAATGGTGATAACTGAAATCATATGGAGGCATGTTGACATACAGCGTTGTTCATAATATGATCATTATTAATTAACTCTGTCTGATTACAATAAAAGCAGGTCAAATGGGTTATGATTTGACGACGGCTTTAGCAATGCTTCATTTTGTAATTTGGGTCTTCTCTTCAAGTTTTTCAAGTTTTTGCCATAAGTAATTATAATTGTTGTATGTTTTGTTGATAGATGTCTTGAAAACGAGTTTTCAGATTTATTCGAATCGCTGTATTATTAAGATCGTACATGTATAATAAGTCCATCGTCTGTTTATAAGTAAACAATCTTAAATCGTATCACATTCCGGCCAAATCAACTCGGCAATGCTACGATTGATATCAGTATACTATTGATAATTAGTAAAAATCGTGACTTCTTCTCTCGTAACTCATTATCTCAATTCCTCGAGGGACTACAATATATTTCTTGGAGGTATCGAAAAAGATATTTCGTGATAACCTTTTACAGACAAATACATGCGACTATTTACTGACACGCTAACATGTATTTTGTCTTATATTTTGAAGATAATTAACAATTAAGTATTCCTCATCTTTGTGTTGACTTCAATAAAAAGTTATTATTCAAATTTGCAATCAAATTTTACAAAAAAGTTATTCAAATTCGCAATCAAACTTTTACAAAAATACTTTTGTGTATGTTTAAGGTGCAGTGGTACTTAACAGGAAATGACAAGACAGGAAGTGACAAAAATGTGTCATTTTTAGACATTTTTTGAACAAAGATAACAGAGTTCTGTTTTGACCTCCAGTCAATTCAAATAGTTCCACATATCATTTACAGGACCAGGATCACAATGTACATGAACAGAATGATCATAAACTTGATGAAATAACTTTTTCAGCCCTCTAAAAATGTGACTGGAAAATAGCTATAAGTAGGAGCTTAGGAAAGGTCACTGAACAGAATCTTTTGAATTTTTCTGAAAATGTGCTCAATTTATTGCTTTAAATAATACAATCTTTGAAAATGTGATACCATTCGTAGAAAAAGAAAACAAGGCACAGACGTGAACAATATCGTACCTAAAACACAGCATTGTGGTCTTGTTGACCAGGAAAGCAAGATGGCCGCAGAAAAGTTAATCAGCTCTAGAACTTATCACTGTGTAACATATGTAAAAATTTGAACGGTTTGGCTGGAAACCTGTAGACAAGCCTCGATAGACAAGATTTTAGGACGGAAAATCTAAAATGGCAGCCTTAACATTTACCCAGAATGCCCAAAAACTAATCAGTTCTTGACGTTGATATGTAGAAACATCCCTGAAAATTTCAGATGAATCCCTCAAATGGTTTGGCTGAAAATCTGTAGACAAGTCTTGAAAGTGAAGATTTTAGGACGGAAAATCCAAAATGGCCACCTTAAAATTTACCCAGAATGCCGAAAAACCAATCAGTTCTTGACGTTGATATGTAGAAACATCTCTGAAAATTTCAGATGAATCCCTCAAATGGTTTGGCTGAAAATCTGTAGACAAGTCTTGAATGTGAAGATTTTAGGACAGAAAATCCAAACTGGCCACCTTAAAATTTATCCAGAATGCCCGAAAACGAATCAGTTCTTGACATTTATTTGTAGAAACATCCCTGAAAATTTCAGATGAATCCCTCAAAAGGTTTGACTGGAAACCTGTAGACAAGTCTTGAAAGTAAAGATTTTAGGACGGAAAATCCAAAATGGCCACCTTAAAATTTACCCAGAATGCCCAAAAACTATTCAGTTCTTGACGTTGATATGTAGAAACATCCCTGAAAATTTCAGATGAATCCCTCAAATGGTTTGGCTGAAAACCTGTAGACAAGTCTTGAAAGTGAAGATTTTAGGACGGAAAATCCAAAATGGCCACCTTAAAATTTACCCAGAATGCCCCAAAACTAATCAGTTCTTGACTTTGATATGTAGAAACATCCCTGAAAATTTCAGATGAATCCCTCAAATGGTTTGGCTGGAAACCTGTAGACAAGCTGAAAAGTGAGACGCAGCCCGCATATCAAATACAGCTGTCGTACTGTTTATCACCCAAGCGTGTGGATCATACTGAATGTATATTGACATGCATACGGGTGTATAAATGCATTACAGACAACAGGTTAGCGTCATTTAATTAGAAAATATCGCCCTTGTTGTTCGGGTTAAGAACAACTCGGTTGGTCATAGTTTGCAACTCTGATTACCAAATCTAGTATTATTTATTTATTTATTTATTTTATTAAAGTGTCACTTGTATCATATCATACAACCAGCCCTATCTGGGCTTATGAGACACATTTGAACATTTTAAAATAACTAGTTATTGTTTAAAATAAAGTCTTTCCTGATCTGCATTATGTCAATTAAATACTGACCAAACATCTTAGTGTATCTTTTACTTTTAAAAATGTCACTTAAAGTCAGACTCTCTATTTCCAATTTTTCAAAGAACTCATTTCTTTTTTTCCTATTTGAAATTTTATCAGGGAATTTTTTTAACTTAATTTATATGTTATTACCAGAAACAATGACATTGTTACAGTAATGTTTTTGTGAATGGGTTCGGCACTGTGAGACAGCACTGTCATTCGTCAATGTGTGAATACATGTGTCAAAAGAGAAACAGAGCAGACAGACGCGAGTAGCAGTGTACAGCGAGGAAAATAAACAAAGCAAAACTGATCATGAGGAAAATAAAGGACCAATACAGTACAATTGTATAAAGAACAGCAGAAAGAAACAATGTCAAACACCTCCTTTTCCCACCATTGCGGATTCATGGAAGCTAACGCAAACAAATCCACTAACATTTCTTATCTCGAGGCATTTCCGTTGTGGGAGTGCCTATTCCTCGGGAAGATTTTGGGATTTCCGAACTGAAAATAAGATTCCTCAAATTGATTTTTCGATCGTAGTCCTCTTCCTCTCCCCTGCTCTGCTTGGATGGCATAGTCTAAAGTCTATGCTCATTTCTAATCCATTGATATAGACTTTTAGTTAAATCAAACATTGCAGGTCATCGTGGCGGGCTCAACGTACAACTTGATATAGATCATATCTTCTAGTAAATAGCGAGATCAATTTGGATAAATTGCCCAAATTATCCATTGTTTATATTGGGCTTTCGAATTACATCAAAACGTCTGCTTTTAATCTAAAATACTGATGAAAGCTATCAGAAACGCCAATATCATCAATATGCCTCGAAGACCCTTACAAATTTAAGTATGCGTTAAGCGATGTCTTTCTGGTTATTTCAAAGACCTTCCTTTTTAAATTTGAATTTTTGCACTTTCTTACACATTAATTCGGTGCCATGTTTTAATTTAGGTATATTTCATTTCAGAAAAATGAACTGTTCGATCACAACCTTTATTATGACATAAATATTCAGCTAAACATTGCAAATGCTAACCTATAGGGGCTTTATGTTCACGGCCAAAGGGAGCATTAGCTTTGATTCAGATACCTTGCATATATGCATATGCTGACAATCGTAAATTTATAAACTCCCACAATGCTTTTAAAGCTCAAATTAGGGTCTATATGTCAGTTTAGAATATAAACTGCATACTTAACGTCTATTTACGAATGCATTCTACTTAACATCATTCCCATTACAAATTGTACGTTTCTTGGAAAACCTGACCTAAAAGTTTTGTTTTATTGCGCGGGTTTAATGCAATAAGCAGCCTACTGACTCTTGTTATACGAAATTGTCTATAATTTAGACCATGCCTACTTTATGGAAATTGACAGATGGAAATATCATCCCAACGCCTCTAGAGAACTCCGATCTTTGTGTCTGTACATGTTTTCGAAGTTAGATCATGTCAGGAAATATATTAGAAATTAACACTTAACCTTTGAAATAAGAGCATTTTCCGTGAACTTATTGAACGATCTGGTATACACTCCCCTTCATAAATTTGGAAACCGGAAGTATTTTAGTATATTGCTTTGGTCAGTTTTAGAATGTCATAGGACACCCACTCCATATTATGATAAACGACTTATCCATAAGAAAATGTATGTTTTAAAAACGGTATTCATTCCAAATCAATATATCAAAATACATACACTTGCCCATTTGAAATCAACTCATTCAAAGACAAACTATTTTAATGCAACCAAAGTAGTCTTGAGAAGATTTTTTATAATCAAAACTTATTGCAAGACTGGTTCATTCCTTGTAGAATAAATTCCAGCATACTAATTTCATCGAAGAATATTACACATTTCTTGCAAACAACATATCCGAAGTCATCTATTTCTACACATCTTATTGTAAGATCACCTTTTTATCATCATTTTTATTTCAACTCACCCCATGACAACGAACCCCAAGTTTAACCCATTCCATGAGAAATATTTTATTTTTCTTCGCAAAGCAACTCAGCCCATGAAAACTAATGCTATGATAACTAGTTTCATCTCGAGCCAACTCATCCCATGACACTTATCCGAGAATAAATAGTTTCATCTCGAGCTAACCCACCCCATGACAACTTATCCCAGAATAAATAGTTTCATCTCGAGCCAACACACCCCATGACAACTTATCCGAGAATAAATAGTTTCATCTCGAGCCAACTCATCCCATGACACTTATCCCATGATAACTAGTTTCATCTCGAGCTAACCCACCCCATGACAACTTATCCCAGAATAAATAGTTTCATCTCGAGCTAACCCACCCCATGACAACTTATCCCAGAATAAATAGTTTCATCTCGAGCCAACCCACCCCATGACACTTATCCGAGAATAAATAGTTTTATCTCGAGCCAACCCACCCCATGACAACTTATCCGAGAATAAATAGTTTCATCTCGAGCTAACCCACCCCATGACAACTTTTCCGAAAATAAATAGTTTCATCTCGAGCTAACCCACCCCATGACAACTTATCCGAGAATAAATAGTTTTTTCTCGAGCTAACCCACTCCATGACAACTTATTCTAAAATAAATAGTTTCATCTCGAGCTAACCCACCCCATGACAACTTATCCGAGAATGAATAGTTTTTTTCTCGCGCTAACCCACCCCATGACAACTTATCCAAGAATACATATGTTTCGAGTCAATCCACTCCATGACAACCTATCCCAGAATAAATAGATCACCTCGAGCCAACCCAACCCATAACTTATCCAAGAATATATAGTTTCATTTAGAGCCAACTCACCACATGACATCTAATCCCATGATAACTAGTATTTCATCTCGAGCCAACTCACCCAAAGTATTTTCTCGTTATTTAAAATGCATTGTATGCAATATATGTAAATGAGTTTGTGTCGTGATAATGACATCTGAATGGGAAAATAGAAGGGCGCTGGATACCGTTACTTTTACATTGGATTATTTTGAGATGTTTGGGTCGCTCCCTTAAAATCAGTCGTACGCTTTCTTTTTTCTCACAATATCAACACTTTATCTCTATCTGAAGCTTACCCATACAAAGACAATTTATTTTGAAAATACTATACCCATACCATTCTCAGTCGACTTACTCTCGGTTTTATTAAACCTAGTTTACGATTTTATTCAGAAGAACAAATCGAGGATAAAAAGTGTAATAACTCGCTTTGTTCTTCAATTATTGACTTCTGCTTCCTGGAGTCGATGCAAACAACGCCTTGTTTGACTTTTATTACTATAATGCGTATCGACATCGTTCATGGATTTGCTGAATAGCTTGGGCTAATCGCTACGGCTCTCCTAACGTAAGAATTCAATCGAAGCAAGTAAGATAATCGCTATCAGTCCTTAAAGGCTCTTACAGTACAATTGTCTGTGAAACCGAACCTATTTGAATGAATATTCAGATGTTTTTTTCAAAACAAGGTAGACGATGGTAGAAAAGAAAATGATAGATAAGGTCATCAAGGAGGGGGGGGGGGGGTTGAGCAGGAAGCTTTTGGTCAACTTGATACCAGTGAGGATTTTACTTGCAAGGGATCTATTGGTTGTTGTGTAAGATTTCCAACGATTTCTAAAGCCATGTCTGCTTCTATTCCCTCGAGAAGAAAATACAGGTATATAGTATAACCCTGAAGTATAAAATCATCTTCGGGAAGCTAAGTTGACCTGAACATGAAGAATGTAGTAAGAGAAACTTTTTTTATTCAATTTTCTTTATTTCAGAGAAGAAAAAACATGTTAAAGCAATTGCAAAAAACCATTACAATGCAGTTACATGGTAAACGTACATTTTACAATACAGTATTGGTTAAACGTTAGTGGTCAAGAAATTTTATACCATTGGCAATTTTTTTATTTAAAGGAACAGGCATATAGCAGCATTCCAAATTTTATTGAAATACCTGTTAATTTGATAGTTAGTCGAGTATTAAACGAGAAAGCTATAATTAAGCAACTGTGACCAACGTTACCCTTATGGGATGGTATAATAATTACCTATAGCCAATGCTTAACACGAGCCGAGACATAATTAAAGGGTTTATCTAGGATAAATATCAATGCTGAAAGCCTTGTTGAATTGAAACTGCAATTTCTATGATTCCGATTGGAATGATAATTGAATGTATTATAAGAAACATTACGTAATGAGTGCCTGAAGCCTAGTATCCAGGTAAGAGATTTCGAAACAGCAAGATCAAGAAGTACAGATGTCATTCACAGATATTATCTCACCTTATGTGAAGGATTGTCAATACATCGATCGAACAATGACAATTAATTCCATGATAACTATATCCTTATTTCAGTGCAACCCATTCCATGATAAGTGATCCCATGCTAACTATTTCTATTTCAAAGCAACTCGTCCCATGACAACTCATCCCATTATAAACATTTTCTTATCAACTCACCTCACCCCATGACAGCTCATCCCGTCATTTTTGGTCATCTCACCCCATGACAATTTATTTTGATGATAACTCTTATCATTTCAATGCAACTCAATGACGATGACAATGGCGACTTATTCCATTATAACTTGTTTCCTATCATGAGGCAGTTCATCATTTGACAACTTATCCCATGATGACATTCGTTTTTCAAGTCACCTCATGGCAGCTCATTCTATCATAACTAGTTTCACTAATTATGGTAAATGTGTCATTTAAGGTAAATCACTCTTGTCACGTGATACTCAGCAGAAAGGATTAAAATCCTTACAAAAACAGGAAAATTGAACCCTGAATATACTATTATATTACATTCTCAGAAAAATGACAAGCACATATTTAGAGTTATTACATTATTTTCGTACTTGTATTGGATTCCGCATGATACGTCTATAGGCTAATATAATGGACGACTCTGTGGAGTGCAGTTGCTAACTCGAACAGTCATTTGATGGAAGAACGTTATTTCCCGGGTGTGTCGTTTTCCATCAAGTAACGACGCATACACTATTTATTAATTACGCGCCCGCCAAGCATTTAATGATAAAAAGCTTGTTACCACCCGTAAAATCATATTCGTTTGGCAATTGTGCTGAACGAACGGGTTATTTATGTCTGCTGTAAACCTATGTTCTGCATCTAAATAAGTTGTGCGATTCTCTGAATTCAAAATACTTTCCTGAAATGAATAATTGCTATACATTGTAATGCCTCAGTCATATTTGATCTACGGCAACCGTACAGCGGCCGTAGCTTCCAAAAATCAGAGAAACTTGAAGCATAACATATAGGGATAAGCCGTACGATGTAGACTTTCAATATTGATTTTGTGAAACTACGGTCGCCGTACGCCCACCGTAAAGCATAACGACTGAGGTCAAAGAGGATTGACTCCCAGAGTGCAACATCGATATTCTGTGCCATATATGGAGATGTCGTGATACAAAATTTGAATTCAAACGGCCGCCATTTTGTTCACTTCAACATTTGAATCGTGAATTTTGGTCTTATTTCTTGACGAAAAATTCCCAAACTCACAAGAAATGATCGAGATATCGGTATGAATCTTCTGAACTGTTTATTTTTAATTTATGATCGGTAAATATTTCAGAAAATAACGACACTTCGACTTTTTCATTGTCGGAAAATATCGATGTTCGATCCTGGGAGCCAAATCCCCCTTGGACTGAGGTTTTTAGTTGTTCAATTTAAAATGTGCATTAGAGTATCGACCATTGTAATAAATACTAATAAATGGAGACAAACGTAAATAAGTATGTCATTTTTATTAAATATGTTTGATAAATGGAGTCAATGATACAGATACATTTTATTAAAGAAATAGGACGGTGTTAATTGATATATGTTAGACGTATTGAATCAGTGATATAGTCATTTAGACCGAGACGGGATGACGTCATTTGTGTACATATATTGTCTATGATAAATGTAGACATCCATTGATTTAGTACAATTTACTCATTTAGCACATTTTGCAATTGCTTTCTACTAAAATAGTGCGGTAGTTTTTAATAGTTGTCTGCTTGCTTTTTCCGCACTAATAAAAGACGAACCACCGGTTAAAGTGATATCAAAGTACGATTCCACTAGAGTAGCATCTAATTCAAGATCCGATCAGGTCTTTGCGAATACTTAGTCGGAACAAATGTGCTAAATTACTTTCCTATTGATTTCTATATTTGTCGGTAACACTTCGTATAAAATCCCCTGGAGAATAAGTCCGTACGTCAAAAGGCCATTTCACAAAGGCACGCGGTGCTGTCATGTTAGCTTTCGGTCAGACAAAAGTACGGTACAAACGGTATATGAATTGCTAACGTTAGACATATTATAGTACTATGTTTTATAATCTAAGTCAAGGCAGTGTATAGGATAGTTTGGATGATGGCTCGTTGAATAATCTATTATTGGATAAATAGATAGATTAATCAGAGGGAAAGAATGATAAGGAAGGATAGAAACAGACATTCCATTGCGTTTAAAATGTCATTAAAGTGTAGAATTTAAAAGTGTGCGGCATCAACATGTAATTATAACTTTTAGTTAGTTTCAAATACCTCTCTGAAGTTACTCATTCAATACCGGATAAAGAGTCACATTTGCCGGACTTCGACCGTACGGTGGCCGTAGTCTTACAAAATCAAGATAGAAAATGTATAAAATTGCTTATCCCTTTATTTTGTGCTGCATATTTCTCTCGATTTTGGGAAGCTTTGGGCGCCGTACGGTTGCCGTAGATCAAATGTGACTTGGGCATGAGTTTCTAACTCAATATGAAGCTGAAATATACAAGCTTAAAAATCGACACGTGC